TTGAATTTTTTTATTTATTTTTATTTTTTTAACAATATTGTAGATTTAGAATATTTTCTGTAATTTGTAATATTTTTTGGTTTAAATCAGTGTCAGTGGCATAAATTTGTATCGCTTATCATCTCTATATCACACCTCAAAATTTGTTGAACCATAACACATCATTTCTTAATGTTTTTGGTTCAATTTTGGCTTTTCTTTTTAATCATTTTGTGTAGCACTAATTATATATTTATAATTTATTTCAATTTCACATATGTGGTTAACTATGATGATGTTGTTTTTTTTGTTGGTTTTTTTTGCCTTTCTGTTACTGACTAATGACTATTTCTGTTGTAACGTTTGTAAAGCCCTGTGAAGCAACAAAACCAAAACTAATATTTTGAAAATGAATTGAATTAAATTAATTATAGGCATTTATGAGCCATTGCTGTATCTACTGAATCCATTACTCACATATTCATTCATTGTTTAATTTGGACACACAGCTGAAATAAAAATGATTTATATTACTGACCTGATGTTGCCCCCAATTCAGAAACTTTTAGCCTCTTTGTTATAATCAGTCAAAAAGAGGAGCGATGTGTCCCCAAGCTCTCATCAAACACAAGTCAATGAAAAGACCTTTTGTACTGAATTCTTAATAGATTCTCTTCGGGGATTTTCCAGTGTCTAAAGAGTGACATGACATCTCAATAGGTGATTCTGTGTGATCACATGTTCAAGTTAAAAGTGCATTGTGTAACTTTACTGGTGGCAAATCCGTCAAATGCTTTTCTCCATGGAGATGTTATCACTTTGTCTGGAATATTTCACAGTGTAGTCTTATATAGGGATGTAACATTAACCGAAATATCGTGATATCGTATTGTCAAAGTTCTTGCAATAATATCATGGACCGTCATTATATATCCAATCACGTCTCTTTGCTTAAATTTAGAGTTATGGTGCAGCAATAGCTAAAAAAAAAAAAAAAAAAAAAAAAAAGACAGAGGTTCTTAGTTCTTTGGATTAAGTCTTGTCAAGGCATTTTAAGAGGAAAAAGTTGCATATTAACAGTTTCGTTCACAGTCTCCACAAAATATCATAATAAATATGTATGGATGTATATCGTGAAAATATCGTATCGAGAGATTTAAATATCGTTACATCCCTAATCATGAGCCTCCCCACCATATCGTGAGCTTTTTCACGATATCACAATAAATATCGTAACATGAGGTTCATACCGTGACAATATCTTATTGTGAGACTTGGATATTGTTACACCCCTTGTGTTAAACCTTTCTATCTTCATGGAGACCAAACCAGACCAATTTACAGGTTAGCTCTATGGAGAGGCAACCACACTCAAAGTCAGAAAGCCTGTTTTTCTAGGTATTTTTGAGCTGTAAAACCACCTGTAATTTAATAAATGTAAGACAGGGCTGTTTAATGTCATACTGTGTAACATACCAGCCAGAGCAATGACATATCTATAGGAACAAGAAGGTGATAGACCCCCAACCAAAAAGTTACACAGTGCAGCTTTAATGTATGTAATAAACTGTTGTGTAGATGAAGTGTAAAACTGTGGGCACCCATTGGCCAATAAGGAAAATTGAGTGGGTGGCCTAGCAGTAAACTTACAGCATAAATCTCTGAGACTTGGGCACTTTTTGCTCTGTATGTTGGACAAGTTGATTCTGTGGTAGAGGGGACGTACCATTACACTGTTCCAGGAAAATAGACAGTAATTGGGTACAGATGTCCTTGAAAAGTTCCAATGCTCTGCCAACTGTGTGGTATGGCTCTATCAGATCTAACTGTTATAGCCAGTTAGCTTCAGAACATAACACAAGAGTTGGACAAAGTTGTGTCTTCAGTTACACTATATAAAACTAATGATTTCTCGTCAATTCCTTTCAAAAATATGATGTTTTTGGCAATGTTCAATGTCATATCCATTCAAGTCATCTGTCACTTTCTGTTCCTGTCAAAAAGTTGTATACACTGGTAAATTTATTCAGAGCATTCAACAATTTACTACCAAGCAATCTTCAAAGCTTGTTCAAAATGAGAGAGAGAACTCATAATTTTAGAGGGTATGGAAATTTCAAATTGCCAATGTTCAAACCACCCGTAAAAGTTTCGTAAAAACTCTGGAACAGCCTGGATACACATCTTAAGCAGTGCCAAAATATCCATAAATTCAAGTTGTTATATAAACTTATGGTCTGGTCATAGTATGTAGAGAGTGGGTCTTAATATTTGAACAATACTGCCTCTGTAGTGCTGGTTTATCCTTACCATTGCTGGTTTATACTGTCTGTTACCATTGTCGGTATCCTTATGTATTATTGCAATACAGTTATGTTACCAAACTATAACAGTGACTTTTTGTCTGCACTTGTAAATAGTTCATATAGTTTAATGTAAAATGTCTGAAAAATTCTAAAGAAAGCTTTTTTTGTACAAGATGAGAAGAGTTTAAGAGATTAAATCTGTTTTCTTCTTCCCACTCCTTTTTGGGCCAAGTTTTGTTTATTTATTTATTTATTTATTTATTTATCAAAAACATGCCTGGAGTTGTGTTTTATTTCATTCACACATATTTAACACACAAGCCCTGAATATTTAGGCTACTGAGTTCTCTCAAACAGAAAACACCCTGTTCCACCTTGTGATGTCATGTGGTAATACTCCATTGTGTTTCTCAACTCCATACACCATCACTAGAATCATTTGGATAACTTCAGCCCTGAAATTGCACATTACTTCTGAGCAAAAGATAAAATGTAGCTGTTAACTGGAAAACAACCACTACATGAAATCACAAGGTGGAGCAGAGCATTTTGAGCTTTGGAGATGTAGACAGGCTAATAATAAAGGATTACTCAAATATGTGTGAACGAAACAAAACACAACTCTAGGTATGTTTTGATGAGGGAACAACATTATAACATGGCTTAAAGATTGTCACTTCTGCATAATGCCTTTCACATTCATGCTTGTGTTCATCTCTTATGACCTTTTCTGGACATTTCAGACGTTTTGTATTCGACGCATAGAGAAACAAACCAATCAATCAATCAATAGGCTAACATAACCTTCCTGGCCCATTTCATATTGACTGGTCAAGATGAGCTGCTGTTGATGTTAAAGCCTAAATTATCTTTGAAGCTTCATCTTTGAAATGTCTGCTGCTTGTCAAGTTTCTGTATTCTCCATTTCTCTGTCAGTCTGCCTCACTGCGACCTTTGACCTCTGTACTATAGGAAAACTGTCCACTTCACCGATTCTCATTTATTTTTCATTTTGGCAGTTCACACTGGTTTGTGGTCCACTCCATACCTCTTTGACTGGTCCATCCATTACCAGTGTCATCTCCTCATACGAAGCCTTTTCTATTAACATAAATCTGTCCAGTAACTGACAGTGGTCACAGCCCTGATACCAGCACAAACTGGAATGCCACTCAAAACTGTTCTTCTGATGTGACCTTCAAGAAGAATTATGGTTGACATTTAACGTACTGATTAAGGTTATTTGTCAATGTAAATGATGGGCGATTACATGGAATGAATATAGGAAGGATTTACAAATGATTTCCGTTTGATATACTAATTAATCAGGTCAATATAATAGGAGAAATCTAAATGTTCTAGCTGCTGCACCACCATAGACTGTATATATAAGTGAACATACCCTGCTATATGAAATGAGCATGAGTGCGCTGCAGACTCCATCGACTCTAATTCTTTGTTGCCCCTCTCTTTGTAACTACTGCTATGAGGCGCCTAATTTTGGTCTTAAGATGTTTGTATTAACCCGCTCTACATGATCCTGGCGTTTTTATTTAGCTGTTTTCTACGTAAATCAGTTCCTATTCCTTAACTCAGCGTCAATGAGCTTCATTTGACTCGGACAGACTTGGACAAAAAAAAGGTTTATCACTGTTGAGTTACAATTCCTGAGAAGCCATAGTCCCAAAGAGCAGTGCTATAATGACAGTTAAAATATAAAAATTATGTAAAATGCAATCTTGTTTCATTCTCGTGGATCTAATTTTGTGTCTCATCCCATCCTCCAAATTATCAGATAGTACACAGAACTTTCCATTTGAATGTGTTTTTATCTTGTTAAACCTGTGTCATGAGATGTCCCCACACCAGAAGGCTCCTTGAGCTGTGAAACTGCCCTCTGTCCGAATCATTAACAGCAGGTCCTCACACTTGTATGTACTCGGTAGAGTGCATGTACTGTGTAGAGTCCACCAGGGACCACACTGGAAATCATCCCCATGTGTTGAATTCAATTATAATGGCAGCACCAGAGCAGGATACAACCTACATATGTGAACTGGAACATGCCAAGTAAGACTGTATAAGGATCATATAAGTAAATAAGGATCATATAAGTAAACATAAGAATTTAAAGTTGCCTATTGTTTTGATAGCACCAAGTAATAGTGAAATGTAATATTTTCCATTTTTCTCTCTGTTTGACTGCTTTCTGTAATGGCAAAGTTTCTGATTAATAGAGAACTAGAAAATAAATTGTTAAAGGTCCTATATTATCCAGAGTGGATTCTTGTGAGTTTTAATCCATGTTAGAATGATGTTATCTTATCAAAAACATAAATTAAGTTGTGTTTAGTTTCATTCACATATGTTGGAGTAACCCTTTATTTATATCTACACTGTCTACATTTTGGGAGCTTGATATGCTGTATTCCACCTTGTGATGTAATGTAGTGGTAGTTTTCAAGAGATTTTCAACAGTGACCTCTTACCTTTGGTTCAGCAGAGATGGGCAGTTCCAGGGCTGAAATTATCCAAATAATTCTAAAGGATGTGTATGGAGTTTAAAAGCCCAGTGGAGCACTTCCTGGTGAAACACAATAGAACTCCGGATATGTTTGTGGTGAAGAAACATAGGCCCCTTGTGCAGAAGGAAACACATATTATTCTTGAGGAAATGGTCTTAATGCGGTTTCTGTACTTTGTGTGCGTTTTCAGGTCCTGTTGCAGTTATAAGTGGGGAGGAAGACTCTGCCAGTCCTCTTCATCATGTTAACCATGGCATCATGAGTCCCTGCACACTGGACCCCTCCTCGGACGCAGTGGTGATTGGAATGACCAGGATTCCCGTCATAGAAAACCCACAGTACTTCAGACACGGACACAACTGCAACAAACCCACCACCTGTGAGTATCCAACAAACTGTAAAAAATGCCACAGTAATGCACATCAGTTAAAACGTAAAAAGACATTGTGACGCGGAATAGTTATGGTATTGCTTCTAGACAACAATAATCCTTTGAACAACCTCAGATAAAATGTAAATTGCTGTTGTGTCCCTGGGCAAGACACTTCATTGCCATTTTACTAGCACGCTCATGTCATCAAAGGCATCGGTTATATAGTGTTATGTGACTCTGAGCTGCTCTGTCAGATCATAACCACCAAACATCAGCAACACTACGATAACAGCCAATAAAACAAAATGTCAGGGGCAGATGGAGTGACTGACACAGAGGTGCAACATACAAACTCAGAATATAGCGAAAATAATGAGAAGACATTATTACTCACCTCTCGTAAAGTGGTAGATGTAAAGTGCAGCACCTCATCCACATTATTCATAGAAATTGTCCTCCACTAATAGGGGTGTAAAGATATCCAAGTCTCACGATATGATATCGTCACAGTATCAACCTCACAGTACAATATTTGTTGCGATTTCATGGGAAATCTCATGATATGGTTGGGAGGCTCCCGATTAGCAATGTAACAATATCCAAATCTTTCGGTCTCAGATCTCTCGTTGTACATCTCACGGTACAATATTTATTGCTATATTTTGTGGAGCTAACAAAACTGTTAATATGCTTCTTTTTCCTTTTAAAATGCCTTAACAAGACTTAATCCAAAGAACTAAGACTTAAAAGTGCTTAGAACTGTTATTTCTTCTTATAGTCTACACTGAAATGGAGCAAAGGATCATGGTCTCTGTAGTTCCCTCTGTCTTTTTATAGCTGTTGCTGCACCATAAATACAGTATTCTTTTAATCAAAGAGATTAATTCGATATGTTGTGAGGGTCCACGATATTATTGTGAGAAGTTTGACTATACGATATCACGATATTTCAGTTATTGTTACATCCCTATCTGCTAATAATGACATCCAGTTTGAGGCTTTCTTTGAAAGTAAAAACGCAAGAGTAATTCTTCGCATGTGTCTTTTTACATCCACACAGCGCATGGACCGAGGTGAAGCCGCAGATTAGCGATACTGACTCTACTTCCTGTGTACTTTATTTCCAGTCTTTTATGCTTTAAAAATCATGCATCTGAAGTATTGCACCACATTGACTTGTATCTAAACTAGAAGTGCAGTGCTCTTATCTTTTGAACAGTTAAAAGAGTCTCAACGCGAGTGGCTGACGCGAGGTGCACTCACAGCTTTATAGCCTGTGGTTCGCAGCCATATCCCGTTGCAGCCTTTGCAGTTGGAGATTTTAAGTCTCATAAGATTCACCCCATGTCTGTGGAGTGTGCTTTTTGTTGCACGTTTAAAAATAATTTAAGACCTATAAATCCTGTAGTGTGTGCCAGCCTTTACTTTAAAATCTTCACATGTTTTAATGAGGCGATGTTGACCCCATCCATTCATCATTAATCTACTACCACTTTAAAATGAAAAAAAATATTGGTAATTCTTGTAATGTTACATGTTATTATTGTCTATTTGTGCAACTTTGGCTGTGACTTTTAGTTCCATGACTTTTCCCTGACATGTACATCATTTGGAGGACTTTTGGCCATTCAAGAGATATAATATTTTGTTTTGAATTGTTAATTGCTTTGGCAACGATCTCATTTTTCCATTACTCTGAAAAGCTTGTTTGTGAGGCAGAGAAAGCTTATCCGATAGTTATTAAGTTTTATATAAGCTTTATCAATAGTCATTACTTATAGCACTCCTTGTCTTTCTTTCTTATTCACAAGTCTTTGTACGATAAAGGCTATCACCTTGTCTCTTTTCAGCCATGCCTAGAGAAAATGGCCAAAACAAATCATTCAGGCCTTTATTGCCTCTTTGTACGGAAAACACTACACCACCCCAATGCTGAGAATACAGGAGTCACCTTGTGTCATCATTACTCAGCATAAAATCTTTCCATTGCTAGTTTTCAGATGACCACAACATTCTATAAGCCAATATTATTTAATACAGATGGAGGGCAGCTAAAATTAGTATTGTTAAAATGCAGATTTTTGTTGTAATATAGTGAGTTAATCAGTCTAGTCAATAATAGAAATGATTAGGTCCAAGATTTGTGCATTTACTTTTTAGACATTTCATGGTAACGTACAATGTAATCAAGGGAAAACTTACTCTTCCATCTGGGACTAAAACATCAAATCTGAAAACTACCAATTACTACTGAACTAAAGGTAAATGGTAGCTCTTAAAGGGACACTCTGGAATTTTGGACATAGGGCCTCATTTCCTAGTTAGCCATAGTGTTGGAGATATGTGGAGCTGCTTTAAAATATTCCATCCATTTCTTGTATTTGTAGAGGTCGCTGGTGCTAGGCTAGTGCATGTCAATGGCCATAGTTAGCCTGTCACTAAAAACAGTCTTACCCACTCCACAAAACACCCGAAGGAAGACAATTATTACGCCAGACTGTCGATGTAAATGCCTGTGTCAATAGAATAATTTTAGAATTAAAACCAACCTAGCATTTGAAGGATTTATGTCTGAGCAGCAGCAGCGAGTTGTACTTTCTAATAGAAAGGTTGGCAGTGGCGGACTGAGATCACTTATCTTATCAGCAAAGTAAGATTCCACTACTAAAAAAATAGTCCCTCAACATGCTACAATTCATGTGATGCAAGGTTAGTTTTATTTCAAACTAGTGCTGTCATGCGATAAAAAAAATTGAGAGATTAATTAATTATGATCTGTAATGAATTAATCTAATTAATCTCATTTTAATCTCACCTAAAAATTGCTGAGAAAAGCCTTCAATTTGAGATATTTTCATTTAAATTCATTATTACATTATTGTGGCAGATCAAAAGACTGATATAGATTAAAAAAGTGACTTTATAAAGTCATTTATTGTTTAACAAATCTCTTCAAATTGGCTGTTGAGCCCAAGTCTCCATAAATAAGAAACTGTTTGTTGTAAAGTAGCAAAGACGAGGAAATCTGAACATAATAACTTTTGTCTACTTAAAGACAATAAAAAAGTCCAGTCTTTCCTTAACCATATTAAAAATATTATTGAAAGAGAAATGCTTTATATATGAGATCACTGGTTTTAGTCCTGGTTTAGACCTGCTTTAGTCCCACTTTAGTCCTACAGTAGTTTAGTCTTGGAATGGATTAGTCCTGGTTTTAGTCCTGGTGTTAGTTCTGGTTTAGTCCTGGTTTAGTCCTGGTTTAGACCTGGTTTAGACCTGGTTTTAGTTCTGGTTTTAGTTCTGGTTTAGTCCTGGTTTAGTCCTGGTTTAGACCTGGTTTTAGTTCTGGTTTTAGTTCTGGTTTAGTCCTGGTTTAGTCCTGGTTTAGTCCTGGTTTAGACCTGGTTTAGACCTGGTTTAGACCTGGTTTTAGTTCTGGTTTTAGTTCTGGTTTAGTCCTGGTTTAGTCCTGGTTTAGTCCTGGTTTAGACCTGGTTTTTAGTTCTGGTTTAGTCCTGGTTTAGTCCTGGTTTAGACCTGGTTTAGACCTGGTTTAGACCTGGTTTTAGTTCTGGTTTAGTCCTGGTTTAGTCCTGGTTTAGACCTGGTTTTAGTTCTGGTTTTAGTTCTGGTTTAGTCCTGGTTTAGTCCTGGTTTAGACCTGGTTTAGACTTGGTTTAGACCTGGTTTTAGTTCTGGTTTTAGTCCTGGTTTAGACCTGGTTTAGTCCTGGACTGGATAGTCCTGGTTTTAGTCTTGGTGTTAGTTCTGGTTTAGAGGCGCACAGGAGGAAGCGCGGTTTATGCCGCGTACGCGAGAAAACACGATCCACACGCGGCTCACGGGAGCACGTCGGTGTCCGTCCGCGCAGTGTCTACAGGAAGGAAACGTGGTCCGCGCGTTCTCAGGTTAATGACTATGATGAAGGTGTGTGTTTGTTTGTGTGTGTGTGTGTGTTTGTGTGTGTTTGTGTGCGTGTCCCCTCATGTGGCAGGTCACTATAGGACAGTAGTGCAGACATCATGAGCCTATGCAGGTTGTTTTCACCAGTGATATGTAAGTTGTAGGTGATATTATATTAGTTATTTTCTTTTATATTTCACGTCGGGAGAATAATTTCCAAGACACGAATGTGTTTTTACCTGTGCACTGCTGACTCTGTTCTACTGGCTCTTCGACCTCGTCCATTGTGCGACTGACGCCGCCAACGTTAACATGCCGTTTACATCGCTCTTACTGCGCGCATTCTGTGGGGGTTTCCGGCAATGAGTGGAATTACCGAAATAAAAAAAATTATAAATGTGTTTTTTTTGTGTGTGTGTTGTTGTCCCAACAACACATAAAAACAGGTTTTATAATAAAGCAACTCGCATACAGAAACAGTAAAGTTAGAGATTAAAAATGAGATTAACGCGATTAAAAAACATAACGCGCTAAATATGACTGTAATTAATTAATCGCAATTAACGCGATAATTTGACATCCCTATTTCAAACATTATTCTATGAACACAGACATTTACATCGACAGTCTGGCGTTATAATAGTTTTCCTTCGGGTTCTCTGTGGAGTGGGTAAGACTGTTTTTAGTGGCAGGCTAACTATGGCCATTGACATGCACTAGCCTAGCACCAGCGACCTCTACAAATACAAGGACTGGATGGAATATTTTAAAAAGTGTCTCCACATATCTCCAACACTCTGGCTCACTAGGAAATGAGGTTCCTATGTCCAAAATTCCCTGTGTCCCTTTAACTTGAAAACTACTGCTTCATGACATCACAAAAAGAAACTGAGCATTTTGTGTTTTGGAAATGTTAAATATGTGTGAATGAAACACAACACAACTCCAGGAATGATTGTAATGAGGTAACAACATTCTAATATGTTTTAAAGCTCACAGGAGTCCATTTTGTGTAATATAGGACCTTTAATAACAGAGAAACTTGATCGTGGAACAAAACCCATTTCACCTTGACTAAAAAGGTCATATTAACTATTTGGGTTTTGTTTTAAGTTTTTGCACACTGCAGTCCCCACAAGCAGCTATAGCAGATATAAATTGTATGTAGATGATATGGGTCCCCAAGCTCATTATCTTGGCACTAATTGCAAGCCAATAGCGTAACGGTCATCTCATTCTTTTCCTTGCGTTTTGGAGTGGTGGTGTGGGGGTCTGTGCTGGTGTGGGGGGCACCCATGGTAGCGCTAAAGCCACTGAGCCGTGCACTTACTGCTGACAGCTACTGATTTAGAACAGGCCAAAGTTTAACATTAGAGGTCAAGGCAAATAAATGGACACCAATGGAACGGCATTGAGAGACTCTGTGAGGCTTTAAAAATTGTATGTTTTTGTATGTTTCTTACTAAGACTGTACGATTTTTTTTTCTCATCCCTGAAACACAAAATCCATGCTAAAGTCTGGCTAGTGACCCTTAGGACTTGGTCAGTACCTTATTGGTGGTCTGCAAGAGGGTATAGTATTAGCTTCTATCAGGATTAAACAATGTTGTAACTACTGCTGCATGGTTACTTTTTTTAATGACCAGGCAGAACCACACACTAACAAAACAAAACAACAAAACACAACAATACAAAACTATAAAGACGAGTGGATCTGGACCTGTATCTTGTTTCCCTGATTTCCGAGGGCATGATTGACAGGCAGATTAACCAATCAGAGAGACACATGGTCCCTTCGCAACAACAACAAAACTATGAAACAGAAGAAGCAACAATCAAAGCACTAAACTTTACTTATCTCAGGTAAAAGAAGTTATATGTTTTGTTCCGAATGTTATGAGAATTTTGGAGAGATATCTTCCACATTTGAGAGACACACCTGTATTCAAACAGAATACAGATGGAACTGGCTGGTCTGGAAAGTTTTAATGTGCAGGTCTCCTTCTCATGTGATCCTGTGTCTTTTCAGATGTTCACCATATTAAACGACGGGACATCATTTTGAAGAGGGAACTGGGAGAAGGAGCATTTGGCAAAGTGTTTCTGGCAGAATGTTACAACCTGAGCCCCACTAAAGACAAGATGCTTGTAGCAGTCAAGGTAAGTCTAATACCTCCACTGTTTTAAGATCTATAACACATGTGCTAATGAGTGATTGAAAAAATCTAGTATTAAAGTAACTGTTTAAAAATGCACGTAAACATTAAAAAGGTATTTCATGCAGAGTTTAAGAGGTGATAAAACTTAAAATGTAGTGACTTTGATAAAGATTGGAGCTGATTTTGTTTAACAGAAACAATCAAATATTTTTTCTTAGCTGTTTTTCTTCGTATATTTTGTTTGTTCTAATTATGAACATGTAAAAAATAAACAATCAGCCTTTTCAGCAGGTGTCAAACTATAATAAAAATACTTTTACTTTTCAGTCTGGTTCAAAAATGTAATGAAGTAGAAAGTATAGATACTTGATCAGATGTAATTAAGTAAAAGTAAAATATATCCACTTTAAAACACATTAAAATTAAAAATTAAGTAAAGTAGAAATATCTAATTTGTTTTTACTTAAGTACAGTACTTTGTTACATTGCACCATTGGTCATGGCATTGTTCATTTGTCACATCACAACACAGTCCCTGTTGGTATGATTGCAAATGAATAGAGATTGTGACAGATGTGAAGTTAATCTTGACTGTAAAGTGGCAGTGTGATTAATGTATTCACATGAGGTTACATAGCAGGTTATGCTTTCCACAGCTCTTTTCTGTTTCTCTGTGGATGCTTTCTGCTGACATAAACATGGTAGATTTGACCCCAAAAGGTGGAATGCTCAGATGTTTACATGGTCACACAATGAACACATTAGCAAATATAACCAAAACGGTTTTAAAAGTGCATGGTAAAGGGTCCGTCAATTGCTTTTTCTCCATGGACATGTTATTGTTTTGTCTGGAATGTTTCACAGTATGGCATTACAGCTTTCTATCTTTATAGAGACCAAACCAGACCAAGTTACAGGTCAGATTTGTTGAGAGACAACACCGCTCACAGTCAGAATGTCTATTTTTCTGGGTATTTTTTAGCTTTAAAGCCACCTGTAATTGAATAAATATAAGGTTGAGTGGTTTAATGTCATACTGCGGAACATTCCAGGCAGGGCAATGGCATATCCATAGAAACAAGCAGGTGTTTTACCCTCCTCTGTGATCAATAATAATCAGTAATGTTATATAACAGGGACAGAAAAAGTCATCTCATCTGTAGTTTTAGCTAAGTGAGTTCTTTGTGGTCAGATTGTGTTAAATCAAAGCTCAGATAAAAGTCTAACAAAGCCTCAGACAGAGCAGGGTCTACAGTTAGCATCACACCCCCAGCTGCAAGTATTGACCCCTGATCTCTCTGCCCTGGTGCCTTAAATTAATGTATGTATTATGTGTCTGTGTGATACTTGACCCCCATCAACGAGATTAAAGTTAAAATTTGTCCCCATAGTGAAAACAGAGGGATTACGACATTTAAAGACAAATCCCTGAAGACTTAAATGAAAGCAATAAGAACAGTGAAGTGACCTGGAATTAATTGGAAGTTTCCATGGTGACGGCGTTGTTATAAAGCTATTAACAGTAATGAGAGCACTTAAAGCCATTACTGTCATTCACAAGAAGAGAATGGATCAGCCCAATGTCTGTCTATTGTGGGGCGTGAATGGGTCTGGTCTTTCTGTGGTCCTCCAGAATGAACTAATTTGTCCAATATTATATTTGGTCCACCATTTTACACAAATGGTAAAGAGTAGGCCTACAGAGACAATTATCTGAATGTATTAAACCATGGTAGCTACAGTGAACAATGTGGCTTTATTCAAGGGACATGATTCTCTTGAGCAAAAGTAAACAAAACAAATAAACAACATATACAAACAAAATCTAATGGTGCTCTGTGTAACTTTTCTGGTCAGGTGTCTGTCCCCTGCATGACTCCATGGCAATGTTATTCCCTTGCCCAAAATGTCCCACAATACTTCATGGAAACCGTCTGACCTTGCAGCATTAGGTTTAGTTTGCTCGATGGTAGGCGGGTACTTTTTTCATTTAACCAATCTCTGCTATTTTTGTGACGTATGTAATGCGCCGCTAACAGCTCTAACTGGCATGTTAAGCTTTTCCAAAATCCTGTATAAAGAAAGGCAATAACGTCTTTCTCCTTGATAAAATTCACCTAACATTCTCATTGTTCTGGCTTTAAATAATTGATCTCGGGAATTGTTGTCAGCACAGAATGTATGGCTTTGTCTAGATCCTTCTCAACCGCTTTGTTTACTGTTGTGCTGTGTCACACAGCTCTTCGCTGATTGGCCGGTGTGCGGTCTACAACTTCCAGGGTTCTTGCAAACCGTGTATGGTATTCCGATTCCTGACCTAGTTGCTGGAGAGAAATAAAATTGAAGGTGGCGGCGCTGGTGACCCTGGAGCCAGGTCTGGGGTTGGGTTTCAAAAACAAGCGCCTGGTGGCCGGGCTCAGCCCGAAAGGACGATGTGGGGTCACCCTCCTGTGGGCTCACCGCCCGCAGAGGGTTTCATGGGGGTCAGGTGCAAAGTGAACTAGGCAGCAGTCGGAGTGAGGGGCCTCGGCAGCCTAGTCCACGGGCACAGAACCTGGCTGTAGGGACATGGAACGTCACCTCGCTGAGGGGGGAGGAGCCTGAGCTAGTGCAGGAGTTTGAGAGGTACTAGATATAGTCAGGCTCACCTCCACGCACAGCTTGGGCTCTGGTACCCAGCTTCTTGAGAGGGATTGGACTCTCCACAATTAGCAAGCAAAGAACAAAAAACAAAAATCACATTGGACAACTTTTCTTTTGAGCAATAAAACCACTGTAAATGAATAAAAGATAGAGCTGTTTAATGTCATACTGTGGAATATTCCAGACAGAGCAATGACATCTCCATGGAAACAAGCAGGTGACGGACTCTCAACCAGAAAAGTTACACAATGCACCTGTAAGGCAGTGTTTCCCAAACTTTTTTTCTGCTGACCTATATTTTAAAAATCACAAACCTTTGTGAACCAAGTTAATAGACATTATTTGTTAATCACAAAATAAAGGTGGATTTAACCATTATTGAACATTAATGAGGCTATTTTATTGCTGAGTGACAATGTCTCTCTAAACAATTAGTATTACTCAAGTTTTAAACAATGAAAAACAGTAATTGACCCAGCAATGAAAGGATCCAAAAGAAGTGTATTTGGATATTAAATGTAGCCCATTTCGTTTTCTTTGCAGCATTCAATTGAACTAGCAATACTGGAACAAACTAGTCAATAAAATAATTACAAAATGATTAGAAATGATACAAAACATGTCTTAACATTTCAGCATTTCTAATGAGATAGGTAGGCCTGTCTACATTTTGTAGCACGTTTCAGTCTGGGGTACATATCAGGCGCAGCACAGAAAATCCCAATTCACACAAAAATGTAGTAGTGAAAGGAATAAGCATAGAAGTGCTGTCCTTACTGAAGACAGGATATTCTGACAAAATCCTTACCCAAAATGACGATAAGGTCACAGATCCATGTATACAACTGTATATTGCAGACCTACATGCAGATTGTGACAAGGTGACCCCAAAACCATCTCTTGCGACCCACCTGAGGGCGACAACCCAGTCTTTGGAAAACAATGCGTTAAAGGACTTTGTAATGTAGTGTGAGCGCTTTGTTTATTGTCTTTGTCTGTAAATGATGTTTCCACTGTGATCCTGATGAGCGCCTGACCTGATACTTAATTGACCCACTGAAGCACTCATCTTTCTAATCACGCTCCACCATAAATAATGCACTAATTTCCTCTCTCTCTTTCTTTGTTGACAGACTTTGAAAGATCCAACTCTTGCGGCAAGGAAGGATTTCCAGCGGGAGGCGGAGCTGCTGACCAACCTGCAGCACGAGCACATAGTGAAGTTCTATGGCGTGTGTGTGGACGGGGACCCGCTCATTATGGTCTTTGAGTACATGAAGCATGGAGACCTCAACAAGTTTCTCAGGTCAGTCAAAGTGGCCTAGTTTTAGTTCAAACTCAATGTTGCCTTTTTCTGTTTGGAGTAATAGTTGGCTTTTCAAAGAATTTATATAAAAGGTTCCACTGAAGAAATGTTGTTGAGGTTTATACAGTGGTGGAACGTAATAAAGTAAAAATAGTAAAGTTCTGTACTTAAGTATACATTTTAGGTATCTGTACTTTACTGCAGTAGATATTAAAGTGGATATTTTTACTTTTACTTACTTTGCTACATTTGAAAGCAACTACTCCTACTTTCTACTCCACTACATTTTCAACTAGGCTGAACAGTAAGTATTTTTTTATTATTGTTTGAGATTGTCTGAAAAGGCTTTGTAGTTTGAGCAAACAAAAATATACAAATAAAAACAGCTAGGAAAAAAATTATTCCATTGATTAATTTGATTTAAAAAGTCAGCAGAAATCTTTAACAAAATTACTATATGTGATCCTTTAATAGAGCTCAAAATATACACAAAATACTTACTTTTTACTCTTTAAGTACATTTAAATAGATACTTTACTAATTTTACTTATGTAGATTTTTGCATGTGATACTTTTACTTTTACATGAGTATTTTTTGTTCCGATATCTGTACTTTTAAGTAACAAAACTGAGTACTTCTTCCACCAGTGAGTTTGGTTTTACCTTGGCGAAAAACAAGCTGTAGAATATCTAGTATCCGTCCATCCATCCATTTTCTTCCGCTTATCCAAGGTCGGGTCGCGGGGGCAACAGTCTGAGGAGGGCCTCCCAGACTTCCCTCTCCACACACACTTCCTCCAGCTCTTCCAGGGGGATCCCGAGACGTTCCCAGGCCAGCTGAGAGACATAGTCCCTCCAGTGTGTCCTGGGTCTTCCCCGGGGCCTCCTCCCGGTGGGACATGCCCAGAACACCTCCCGAGGGAGGCGCCCAGGAGGCATCCGGAACAGATGCCCGAGCCACCTCAACTGGCTCCTCTCGACGTGGAGGAGCAGCGGCTCTACTCCGAGCTCCTCCCGTGTGACTGAGCTCCTCACCCTATCTTTAAGGGAGCGCCCAGCCACCCTGCGGAGTAAACCCATTTCAAGCGCTTGTATCCGCGATCTCGTCCTTTCGGTCACTACCCAGAGCTCATGACCATAGGTGAGAGTAGGAACGAAGACTGACCGGTAAATCGAGAGCTTCGCCTTTCGGCTCAGCTCCCTCTTCACCACAACGGTCCGATACAGCGACCGCATCACTGCCGAAGCTGCACCGATCCGCCTGTCAATCTCCCGTTCCGTCCTTCCCTCACTCGTGAACAAGACCCCGAGATACTTGAACTCCTCCACTTGAGGCAAAGATTCCCCACCCACCCGGAGAGGGCAAGCCACCTTTTTCCGGTCGAGAACCATGACCTCAGACTTAGAAGAGCTGATCTGCAAACCGCCCCAGTGCACATTGCAGGTCCTGGTTTGATGGAGCCATCAGGACAACATCATCTGCGAACAGCAGAGATGAGATCCTGTGGTCCCCAAACCGGACCCCCTCCAACCCCTGACTGCACCTAGAAAATCTGTCCATAAACACAATGAACAGAACCGGTGACAAAGGGCAGCCCTGGCGGAGTCCAACATGCACTGGGAGCAGGTCTGACTTACTACCGGCAATGCGAACACAGCTCCTGCTCCAGTCATACAGGGACCGGACAGCCCTTAGCAAAGGGCCACGGACCCCATACTCCCAGAGCACCCCCCACAGGACACCACGAGGGACACGGTCGAATGCCTTCTCCAAGTCCACAAAACACATGTGGACTGGTTGGGCAAACTCCCATGAACCCTCGAGCACCCTATGGAGAGTGTAGAGCTGGTCCAGTGTTCCACGGCCAGGACGAAAACCACACTGCTCCTCCTGAATCCGAGGTTCGACTATCGGCCGGATTCTCCTCTCCAGTACCCTGGCATAGACCTTACCGGGAAGGCTGAGGAGTGTGATTCCCCTATAATTGGAACACACCCTCCGGTCCCCCTTCTTATACAGAGGGACCACCACCCCGGTTTGCCAGTCCAGAGGTACTGTCCCCAACTGCCATGCGATGTTGCAGAGGCGTGTCAACCAAGACAGCCCCACAACATCCAGAGACTTAAGGTACTCAGGACGGATCTCATCCACCCCTGGAGCCTTGCCACCAAGGAGCTTGCCAACCACCTCAGTGACTTCAGCCAGGGTGATTGATGAGTCCACGTCTGAGTCCCCAGCCTCTGCTTCCTCCTCGGAAGACGTGACGGTGGGATTGAGCAGATCCTCAAAGTACTCCTTCCACCGCCCGACAACATCCCCAGTTGAGGTCAACAGCTCTCCCCCCGCACTGTAAACAGTGTTGGTGAAAAACTGCTTCCCCCTCCTGAGGCGCCGGATGGTTTGCCAGAATTTCTTTGAGGCCGTCCGATAGTCCTCCTCCATGGCCTCCCCGAACTCCTCCCAGCTCCGAGTTTTTGCCTCTGCGACCGCACGGGCTGCAGCACGCTTGGCCCGCCGGTACCTGTCAGCTGCCTCAGGAGTCCCATGAGCCAACAAGGCCCGATAGGACTCCTTCTTCAGCCTGACGGCATCCCTTACTTCCGGTGTCCACCACCGGGTTCGGGGATTGCCACCGCCACAGGCACCACAGACTTTACGCCCACAGCTACGGGCGGCCGCATTGACAATGGAGGCTGAGAACATAGCCCACTCGGACTCCATGTCTCCAGCCTCCCCCGGAATCTGGGAGAAGTCCTCCCGGAGGTGTGAGTTGAAGATCCCCCTGACAGAGGGCTCTGCCAGACGTTCCCAACAGACCCTCACAATACGCTTGGGCCTGCCAGGTCCCTCCGGCTTCCTCCTCTGCCAGCGGATCCAACTCACAACCAGGTGGTGATCAGTTGACAGCTCTGCTCCTCTCTTCACCCGAGTGTCCAAGACACGTGGCCGGAGGTCAGATGACACGACGATCATCGACCTCCGACCTAGGGTGTCCTGGTGCCACGTGCACTTATGGACACCCTTGTGCTCGAACATGGTGTTCGTTATGGACAAACTGTGACTAGCACAGAAGTCCAATAACAAAACACTGCTCGGGTTCAGATCGAGGAGGCCGTTCCTCCCGATCACCCCTCTCCAGGTGTCACTGGCATTGCCCACGTGGGCGTTGAAGTCCCCCAGTAGAACAACGGAGTCCCCAGTCGGTGCACTGTCCAGTACCCCTCCCAGGGACTCCAAGAAGGCCGGGTACTCTACACTGCTGTTCGGCCCGTAGGCCGACAGCACAGTGAGAGACCTGTCCCCGACCTGAAGGCGCAGGGACACGACCCTCTCGTTCACCAGGGTGAACTCCAACACGTGGCGGCTGAGCTGTGGGGCTATAAGCAAGCCCACACCAGCTCGCCACCGCTCCCCGTGGGCAACGCCAGAGAAATGGAGGGTCCAACCCCCTTCAAGGAGTTGGGTACCAGAGCCCAAGCTGTGCGTAGAAGTGAGCCCGACTATATCTAGCCGGTATCTCTCAACCTCCCGCACAAGCTCGGGCTCCTTCCCCCCCAGCGAGGTGACATTCCACGTCGCCACAGCCAGATGCTTTGTGTGCAGACCAGGCCGTCGGGACACCCGTCCCCGACCGCCGCCCAGTCCTCTATGCACCCGACCCCTATGAACCCCTCTGCGGGTGGTGAGCCCACAGGAGGGTGGACCCACGTCGTCCTTTCGGGCTGAGCCCGGCCGGGTCCCATGGGCAAAGGCCCGGCCACCAAGCGCTTGCATTCGAGCCCCAACCCCAGGCCTGGCTCCAGGGTGGGGCCCCGGGCGACGTCACGGTCCTCGATATTACACTGTTCATATGGGTTCTATGAACTGCTCTTAGTCTGCCCCGTCACCTAGGGCCTGTTTGCCATGGGAGACTCTACCAGGGGCATAAAGGCCCGGGCAACATAGCTCCTAGGATCATTCGGGTACGCAAACTCCCCCACCACGGTAAGGTGGCAGTTCAAGGGGGAGAATATCTAGTATTTTAGTTACAAATATAGAAGCCTCTTTCTATTCATGAATTCGACATGAAATCACACATTTTCAAAAGCCAAAATCTTTTATTTAGGTTTTCATGGGTGTAAATGTGAAGCAGTATGAGAAGAGTGAGGATTTTCTATGAACTTATAGTGAATGAAAGATGGATGCGGCTGTGGATATTTTATTTAAACTATAGTATGCCACCTCCATCATCCTCACTGGCATCTGTACTTAAAGAATGAATTATAGAGGACGTATTTAAAATGTGAGTGGGTGGTATAGGAAATGACAAATATGGGCCTTTTGCCTCTGAGCAGTGTGGATGTGATTTGGTGGTGGTAAGGCTCTGGTGCTCTCTGGAGTGATGGATGAGGCTGTCTGGGTGAGTGGCAGTTTGACAAAGGTTAGATCAGCAAACACACAAACTGCGACTTTAAAGCAAGTACTACACGACATAGACCTAAATGGAGACAGAGCAAAAGTAATATAATGAAAGTACATGTCATGTCATCAAAAATCTGACAAATTCATCCTAAAACTAATATTGAAACTAGATAATAATCTCATCAGATATCTATACTGCAAAAAACCCTGCATGAACAAAAATAGAGAAAAAGTAATATAATGAAAATACAGTCATGAATAGGGTTGTCAAAAGTAATGAAGGACTGATACTAATCAATACTAAAACTAATATTAAAACTATATACTAATTTGAGCAAGTTTTGATACAGCAAAAACGCATTGGCAGGAGTAGTAAGAGTAATATGATGAAAACACAGTCATGAATAAAACACACACATTTACAGGATAAAACAGAGCAAATGTAATATAATGAAAATACAGTCACTAATAGGATTATCAAAAGTCTGATAGTAATCGATACTAAAACTAATATCGAAACTAGATACTAATCTGTAGCATACAGCAAAAAAATGGCAATACCAGGACAAAATTTGAACTTTCCTCAACAGTTTTAGGGTTTTTTCAAGCTTTATCAGAACAAGTATAAGAAAGTATTATTATTTCGTGCATTACATAACTTTTTTTTTTTAATCTTCATTGTGGTTTCATAATTGGTATTGCGTATTGAGTCAATTCCCTAGTATTAATTCAAGTTTACATTTTTAGTATTGTGACTATTCTAGTCATAAATGTATGTTATTGTGGGTTGGTTTGATAGTGATAAGACTCAGAATACAGAATAATAATAATGAATAAAGGTGTTAATGAGCATAAGTCATTGTTTTTAAGCATGTATAAATTTTTCATTTGAAATAACCCAATAAAGCATGCTAAAAAAAAAAAAAAAAAAAAAGTCTCTCAAATGATACAAGACCTCTTGAGCTTAGCTGAACATAGCCTTGGAAGTAAAATAGTGTAGTGTTCCAGTATTAAAATTAATCCAAAATGCATGTATTTATATTGCTTATTGGAACAAAACATTTTTGTAATAGTACTTGTGATATAAAGGGTAAGCACTAATCTCTGCAGTGTAGTCTGAACCACCCACTAAAAAACACAATGGATAAGCACACACTCTAAAAGCTCTAAATTTGTCCATTGGACTGGTGAACCAATGAGCTGCATTATGACCGCTTTGATTAGATGTTATTTGTTCCCATGATGCTTTGCTCCACAGAATAGAACATTGATGCTTAGTCTGTTGCCAGGAAGTGAAGTCAGCCAACGCTTGTGTCTGAGTTCCACTGAGTCGCCCTGTGCCTCGGATGCTAATTTCAGCTCCCTAATTGTGCTTCCATTAAAATGCTGGCATCAATTCATCCAGGACACAGTGCTAATTTAGCTCCTGCCCACTGCCCTCCAGAAACCACCTCAATCACACGACTCTTCACTGGCACCACATCCTCCAAGAGAGAGGCTTAACGCTCAATGAGGCTGTAAAGACAAATGTATAGGGCCCCATTCCACTGGACTTTATAAGCTAATATCTGCAGCCCTGGATGTAGGGGCACAAGTGGACCGAAAATTGCAATCTCAAACAACACGATTTTGGGATTGTCAAAGCCACATTTTTTTTCAGTGCTTCTAAAGCCCAGTTTATATAGATTTATGGATCTGATTCAATGTCTATGCTGCAAAGTAATTCACCGCCACAATGCGAGGACGCTAGGATTTAAACCTGGTGTTCGTGTAAAGTTTAACATGAACCATCAATACAAAATATAAGCACAGAACATACTTACCATCATCAGCACATCCTCTGTCACAGAAAGAACACTCATATTCCACTGAGTCGTGTCCTTTAGTCTGACAGAAGCTGAACCGCATCAATGCACAAGGAGCGATCTGTTTTTTTTGTTTTTTTTTTGTGCTTACAGTTTATACAAATTAGCCATGTGGTTTTAAGTTTCGTTGCTGTAAAACATAAACAAATGTTCGCAAAGCTGCATTAAACACATTATTATTTAATGTATATTGAAAGAAACGAAAGCAGAATACAGGAAATGTTTGTAAAGCGGTGGTAGAGAGGACCAATCATAGCCCTTATTGTCTGCGTCGCTTCCCCCTGCTGTCTGCGTCATCTGCACATAGTTACGGTCCAGCATCAAATCATTGGTGCAGAACTCTGGTATGATGTAAGTTTCTGTGATGTTTGCAAATGTTCATGTGCACTGAAACTTGATTTGAAAAAAATCGTGGATGAAATCGAAATCTCAATATCTGCCAGAAAAATCGCAGTTTCGTTTTTTCTTAAAATTTATTTATTTATTTATTTGAGACAGGGACAGCGCACAATTTTCACATTAACTGTAACAGGAGAGATGCCAGGTTGTACCAGGTTGTAGCAGCAGTGCTAATTTCCACCTGTAGTTCCTGGGCAGATTCATTGATTGATTGTATTTAACTGACCTTGGCTATCAACGGTTCTTCCTAGAGACCTATGTAACATGTTTTGGGTTGATCGTTCAGCCCTAAGCACAAGTATGCATGGAGAACTCAAAATAGCAAAAACAATGATAAGAATGTCTATATGTTTCTATTTTGTTGGTTTATTCTAGCATTTGCTGTGTTACTGAGAGCAGGCAGTAGGGGGCAAGAGGGTAAAATGGCTCCAATAAATTCTCATTCTGAACTCTGCCTCTTTGAGTGTATTGTACCATATTGCAAACCTATTATGAAAACAAGAATCAAGCGAATCAGTCAAAAAGACAGTATGGTCAGCAGTCTTGTGAGGTACACCCAATTTGAAGGTAATGGACTAAAACATGCAAACCAATGGAATAAGATGGAGCATGTCAGGCTACATTACTTGAGTGTGTTTTTCCTGACTCGGTGCTTCTCTGCAGAGCTCATGGGCCGGATGCCATGATCCTGGTGGACGGGCAGCCGCTGCAGACCAACGGGGAGCTGGGCCTGTCCCAGATGCTGCACATTGCCAGTCAGATCGCTGCAGGGATGATCTACTTAGCATCCCAGCACTTCGTCCACCGAGACTTGGCCACCAGGAACTGTTTGGTGGGCAACGGCCTTCTGGTGAAGATAGGAGACTTTGGCATGTCCCGAGATATATACAGTACAGATTATTATCGGGTAAGTAAAGAATAAAGTCTGTATTCTTCTGTAAAGTTTATACACAGCGGCATCTCTAAAAACAGGCATAAAGTACTTTGAAACGATATTAACTCCTTTTTTGAATATCTTGACAGGACTGGACTTGACTTTTAGTTTGGTTGCCAAGTAGATTTTGTGTAGTTTTGTGTGTGATGAGTGTGGAGAGAGATGGAAGGGTCGTGAGAGGGTTTTGTTTATTTTTTATTTATTTATTTTATTATTTATTTATTTATTTATTTTTTGTCTCTTTTTGTTTATGTTATGTATAATTTCAAAATTGAAAACTAAAAATGTATACATAAAATAAAAGATGCTATTCTCTAAAAGTGATTAAGTGGTAACATATTTTAACATCCAAAACAGTCTATCTTAAATATCCACTAGGAAAAGTAAATAACATTTAAAGAGCCCATATTACGCTCTTTTCTGTCTATGTTATGTTTCCTCATCAAAAACATACCTGGAGTTGGGTTTTGTTTCATTCACACAAGTTTAACACACCAAACCTGCATATAGAGTTCTTCTCTCAAACAGAAAACACTCCTTGCGATGTCATGTAGTAATACAGAAAGTGCTCCGCTATGTTTTTAAACTCCATACACCTTCACTAGAATCATTTAGATGGATGATTTCAATCCTGGAATCTCTCTTTTGGATCTCTACTGAACAAAAGGTAAAAGGAGGTGTTAACTTGAAAACTACAACTTCATGACACCACAAAGTGTAACAGAGCATTTTGCAAATAAAGTTAAATATGGCTTAAAGGCAGAGTAAAAAAAATCCTACATCTCTTTGCGTGACAGCAGAGCCCATTTGATATTCATGCAACCATTTCAGCTTCATAAAAGCTGGTTCGACCTGGTCAAGAATAAGGTGCTGATTTACTTGCATTTTCACCGCACTCACTGACAGCCCGATCATCCTCCTCTGGGCCATTGTTGCCTCCTCCGCCACAGCTCTCCTCCGTCGCACTAGACTTTGGCAGCTGAATAATCCAAGACAACCTGGATTTGAGGGTCAGACAGAGTGCACTCTCTGTCCTGAATCCTGATCTGCTCTGGGATTCAACACAAAAGCCCCCAAAGCATTGTACTCTTCTTCTGCTAAGCCCAGGTCTGGTTGGATCCAGGTTTAGGAGACATAACAATAGAACTGCAAGGAGTTGTGTAGTACGGCCAAAAATCTATCCTGTTTTTCATGTCCAAGGATTTTTAAATTGGAATCAGCTTTCCATCTCAGGACACATAAACTACCAGTCAAAAGTTTGGACAAACCTTCTCATTCAGTTTTTTTTTTTTTTTTTTCTTCATGTTTACTACTTTCTACACACACACACACACACACACACACACACACACACACACACACACACACACACATATATATATATATATATATATATATATATATATATATATATATATATATATATATATATATATATATATATATATATATATATATATATATATATATACACACAGAAGACATTAAATATATGAAGCAAGATATATGGGATTATGTTATTTAAAAAAAAAAAAAAAAAAGTCTAATATATTTTGTTATATTTTAGATTCAAATTCCTCAATAGCCACCTTTTCCTTAGTTGACAGTAAATTCAACTGCTATGGTTTTCAATTTACTAGAATATTTGAATGATTTTAGCCCTGGAATTGCCGCTCTTTACGGAACATAAGCTAAAAGGAAGCTGTACATATATATCATTTTTTATTTGTATACATCCTTTTGATCTCCATAGAACAGAGCTTGTAGATGAAAATAGACAAATAATAAAGGAATACTCAAACATGTGAATGGAACAAAAGACAGCATCAAGCATGTTTTTGGTGAGGTGGCAACATTATAACATGATTTACAGTTTACAAAAGTTAGTTTAGTATAGAACCTTTAAAATTTGTTATCGAGACAGATCTAAGTATACACCAGTATATCTGTTGTCTTGTTTTATTAGGACTGCAAAAGTTCAAATGTCTTTATATTTATGCTTTGTACATTTGTGTCTCAGGATATGTCTGATTTAGAGACCTGGGGTTGTAGGAAGGACAATTATTTAGCAGTGCAACGGAGGACATTCAATTTGAGGTGGTTCTGATCAGGAGACACATATTTGACTGGATTAGTTCAGCTGCAGATGATTTCACAGCAGGACGACATCTCTGATGAAGAATGACTCTGTGTCACCATCAAAGAGCAGAGGAGACGACTGCTTTGTACGCCTGCCCATATCTTTACCATTAGTCATGTTTGATTAAAGCACAGATCCACCAGTGTCACTAACTCACAAGATGGCCGCCCCAAGAGACATAATGATCTGCAGCCGGAGAAGGCCTTAAACAAAGCCACTAATGAGTCTAATAGATTTAATTAGGTTAAGCTGGAGACTGTCATGACGACGCTTAAGCAAAAGTGACAGTACAGTATTACCCACAATTAGCTGCTGGCTTTTTATATAAATTAATAGAATTAATTTGAATGCATATTCATGTGTTGTTAAGATGGTTTAAAGGTGTACTGTGCAACTTTCTCTGGTAAAGCTCTCCATTTACTTGTCACCACAGAGATGTTATTGCTTTATTTCCAATATTCCAAAGTATGACATTAAACTTTTCAATCTCCATAGAAACAAGCAGAACATGCCACCAGGCCACTTTACAGAATTCATGTTTTTAAAGATATTTTTGAGAAATAAAAACACTCTTAACTGAATAAATGCATCTTGGATGAGTTTAATACAGTATTGTGGAACATTACAGGCAAAGCAATAGCAGCAGACCCCTAATCTGAAAAGTTACATAGTGCACCTTTAAAATCAGCAGGTTCCTTTTGCTCAGTCTGTCCCTGAATGTATTTTCTTCTCATGTTCTCAGGTGGGGGGTCACACCATGCTGCCTATTCGATGGATGCCTCCAGAAAGCATCATGTACCGAAAGTTTACCACTGAGAGCGACGTCTGGAGCTTTGGCGTCATTCTGTGGGAGATCTTCACTTACGGCAAACAGCCCTGGTTTCAGCTCGCAAACAACGAGGTACAGACCTTCTGTAATGTCTGCTCCCTTTTATATTGTACTGCCTAGGTGCAGGATCACTATTATTATGTTTCACTGTGTGGATCATTGACACTGAAATTAAATCAATTTAAGGATAAAATTTTAAATGTTCTTTGTTCAGCTGGCTGCTGTAGACTAGTCTTGTTTGTCTGACTTTTGGATATGTGGCCTATGCTCGTGGCACTGGTCTAAAAAAGGTAATAATCAAACTGAACCTGGATTACCAGTGTCTTACCTGCATTTTGATGACACAAATACAAGTTTTGCCCATTCTCAGTATATGGCTGCAGGGTTTTAGTAGGATTCAGATCAGAGAGAGTCATTTTAGGTTTATTTCCAACTGGTTTTAGTAATAGAATCTGGCACCCCAAATGTGAGGCTCATTCTGTTTTGTCATTGGATAACCAGCTGGAGAAGTAAAACATCAAATGAAAACATCAACAGCCTTCATGTCCATGTTTTTGTGATTAAGAATTCATCAGCACAATAATTGTTATCAGTAAAAGCAATGTTTGATGTCTGATGTGTCTAGGGACATACATAGTTTATGTTTATGAATTTTAAATATAAATGATAGTACATTACCTTTCTTTAACCCTGTGGCACCGTTAAAAATATCGTCATAAAATGTGCACAGTACTTGCACATTCAGGAAATTTTTTTCATTATATTATTTAACTTTTTTGGGTTCATTCTTTTCAGACAGCTTTATATTTTGTAAATGCTATTTCTTATCATAAAAAGACCACATTTTGTGTTGGAAAAAGCACAAATTTGATATTTGTCCAATCTGATAAAGGCAAGATGCAGATGATTTTCTGCAGTTTTCTAGCAGCTTGTGCATTCGTAAAACTTGTGTGGTGTGAAATACTCATGCTTGTATCGTTAAACGCATAAAATGTGCATCGAATTTGGACATTCATAAAAAAATGTTTTTCATTATTAAATTCAACTTTCTTTGGACTTTAAATTCCCTTTTTGTTTTGATGAATCGACCCTGATTTTGGTTGAAAATTACAAAAAAAATAAAAATTCAGAAATGTGAAATGCAAAGCAAATTGTTTTGAGCTCTTTTATTGCAGCCTGGGGTAGGTCAATAATTAGCAGCGAATTATTTTTTTTTTTGTGTAATATTAAATGCGCACACTTGTATTGTTGGGTGTCTACAGTAGCCATTGTTCACATCAATGGTGCATCAATTAATGCACCATTGATGCGAAATCCAAAACCTCAGTTTGAATGGGTTTTGTGTAATTTTCAACCAAAATCAGGCTTGATTCAAAACAAAATTTAAAGGGTTAAAATATTAACAACTACAATAATAATTTGTATAAATATTTAGAGCAGAAGTAACTGAAAAGAATGAGCCCAAAGAAAGTTGAATATAATAATGACCAAAAATGTTTGATGGATTTCCAAATTTTGTGCACATTTTTATTACCGTGACAATCTGATGAACACAGTGAACTGATGTCCTGATGTGGTCGATGAGTAGGAAGCCACCACCTAACCACATTTCATGCTATTTGGATGATAGTGGACAAAATAATCAACCAATCAAAAGTTAAAAGCATGAAGTATGCCAGAGGGTTAAAGGCACTAGAAGTTAAATCTCATCTCACTTGTGGGGCCTGATTCTATTCATGATCATTTTCTTGTGACCCACTTTTTACTAAACCCATTTATTTGACTAAATTATTTTACCGTAACCTTGACAGATCTAGTTTAAATTCACTTCCATCCTTTGGTATAACTAAAACAATACTTCAAATAAGGACCCACTTTGGATGTTCTCTTGTTTGTTTTGGGCATTTTTTGTGTTGTTTTTTTTTTTTTTTGTATCCTCTCCTGAAGAGGCTCAAAATTAAATAAACAACTTTATATACAGGATAAATCAGAATGAATGAATGAACTCCTGTGCAGTATTTAATCAGTAAACTATATTATGCAAAATTTACTCTTGAGAACTTCAGCCTATGTTTGAATGTAGTTACTGCATCAAAAAATATACCTGGAGTTGTGTTTTGTTTCATTCACACATGTTTGAGTAACATTTTATTATTAGTCTGTCTACATCTCCAAAGCTCAAAATGCACCTTGTGATGTCATGAACCAATAGTTTACCATGTTAACAGCTAAATTTAACCTTTTATGTAACAGAGATTGGCAATTCCAGGGCTAAAATTGTCTAAATGATTCTAGTGAATGTATATGGAGTTTAAAAACATAGTGAAGAACTCAGCCTAAACATGCAGGATTTGTGTGTTAAACATGTGAATGAAACAAAACACAACTCCAGGTATGTTTGAGATTATTCTAAATATTATAACATAGATCAGAAAGTAGTATGAGCCCTTTAAAACATTTCTGTGATACTTGAAATGATCCTGTCTCTGTACTTTCAGGTGATCGAGTGCATAACTACAGGCAGAGTGCTGGAGCGGCCACGGGTCTGTCCCAAAGAGGTGTATGACATGATGCTGGGCTGTTGGCAAAGAGAGCCCCAGCAAAGGCTCAACATTAAGGACATTCAAAAGATGCTGTTCACTCTCATGAAGGCCACGCCCGTCTACCTGGACATACTGGGATAGACATTGGTATAGACACTGGAAATGACAGTTGTTTTTTTTTGGCTTTCTGGAGTCAGGGTTACTTGGATGCTCACAAGTTTTGGACCAGACTTCAAGAACGGGCAGGTAACTGAAAATGAGACCGATTTCCCTCCAACTTCAGGAGAGAGAGAACTGAAATGGACTCAAGAATCAGGATTACATTGCAAGGATATGCCCATGTGGTACTGTGGTATGATTACTAGTTTGGTTACTAGTATTTTAAGCTATGAAGACATTTTCTAGCATGGACTATTCAGCAGGATTGGGTAAAAATGATTGTCTGACTCTTCTCAACACCTGTTTCCCATACCTATGCATTCATACTTCACTAGTTCACTAGAATGGGTTTTTTTCTTTTCGCAAATTCTGTTATTACTTCACCACCCACAGCAAGTTTACAAAGAACATTTATTGTTTTGATGTCTGAAATTTAGTCAAGCCTCCTCGTGTCCTCGTGTATTTCTCCAGTTAAAGAGCAAAACACTTTTACCCCATATTTTACTTTTTTGGGCTTACTAACTTTGAAGTTTCACCTACTAACTAATACAATACATTTTACTGTTGATGTCATCTTTGATCTGATATAGGTGAAAAAATATTGATTAGAGCAACAAGTTAATTTGAAAGTGATTTGTTTACGTTACAGGTTTACAATATAGTGACACATTTTATATTCAATTAGATTCTTATTGATTGGTTTTGAAAGGTTTTGTTTGTATTTGTTTATTTGGTATTTCCATTTGCAAAGCCATGTTGACATGTGATTCTGAGCAGACCGTGTTGATGTGGGCAGTGGCTCTGTCTGTCGCCATAGACCTAAAAGTGCCTCCTTCTTCTTTCACTGGGGACTCCAACAATAGTCTTTTATGATAAGAGCACCTTTACTGTACATTTTGTTTACCTGCTTCAAATGTACACTAGATGTTTCTTTCTGTCTTTTACAACAAATACTACAACAGGAAAATTACAAAAAAACTTGAAATCTTTGAAAATAACCCAGTAGGGGAGGACAAAAAAGTGCTTTTTCTACTCTTTGCAGCTTAACATATTGTGAAATACCTGAAAGATGAGTTACTTTCTGTTTGTAAAAGTAAATACAGTATATATGTTACATATTTTCTATTTATTTTTTATTTGAATTCAATAAGTGGACCTCTGCCATGCTCCAAAGCCATTTGAATATTTTGCTACAGGCTTTCATTGATAAGCTAGAAATGAATAAATTCATTTACCAGGAAGTATTGACATACTGTATGACCAACACTGTTCACATGACAACCACGCGCAAATAAAGTTTTGTGGCAAGAACAAAAGATTGTTAAAGAACAAAGTTGTGTTGCTTTGATAAAGAATGTATATAGTGTAAATTTCTCTATGTATGGGGTATGTTAACTTATTTTGAGTTAGTTTTGTTCCTTAGTATGTTGTTATAAAAGTATGTACAAACAATATATTTTGATAATCTTCTTTACAAATATGATAACTGTCTCATCATGCCATCGTTGCAGCCATTTTGAGTTTAAAATTTGAAGATAGAGTCAAGGACAAAGGACAAACTTTCATTTGCTTATATATTATAGTTTATGTTTTGGCAAACTTGGATGTGTGTAGTCAAGAGCACTGAGATTATCTGAACATGTAACAAGTAAGCTAAAGTAAGCTAACGTGTGTGAGTGAACTGCTACATGAGCTTGTAGAACACAATACATGGACCGTATGTTGAATGTAAAAACAATGTTGACGGTGAAGTATCTCTGTCACTAAAACCGAACACAAATGTCAGCGTAACCTAAAGCCAGAGTGATTTACTGCTATAGGAGTTAAATTCAGACTATGGTTCTCTGTGTTAGATATTTAGGGTGTGTTGATCACTATGAAAATATTGGCTTGTTTCTAATATGGCAACAAATGTCAACAAAAGCCATAGAAATGACCGCAAACTAATAGATACAAGTTTGCCCTGTGTAATTGCAATAAAAGTACTATTATATTAGTACAACTGGACTTATTGCCATATTACTGAGTGTACAGACTTCAAATGTCACGTATCAGATGTTCCCTTAATAGTTGAAGCATTAGACTTTTCTATTTTATATTATTTGTCATAATTTATTATATGTGATTATATGTAACAAGTAACTCATACATGAAAAGTTCATCTGTAATTATTATTTTAACATGCACCAATTCTCATTTGTTTGCAGTGTTCATGTCACTATATTTCATGAAATCTTTTTCACTGCTCTTGCCCCTCTGCATCTGGATAACATTGTAGCCTGTTTCCATTTAAAACTATGTATTCAAATCCTTTGATAACTCATATAGAGTCCTTTTAAAATGTTGAGATGTGGTGAACTTTTGAGGTGGCTTTGTGTATGAATTTGACTCATTAAAATCTCCATCATTTAACCCAATAACCATTATGTCTTCATTATGTTAACATTATTTAGGGCAGAGGTGTCCAGCTGTTTTTGATTGAGAGACACCAACACATGTGGAGAGTCACAGACTGGTGGTCAGTACAGTGTCATTCAGATGAGTGCGTTTAACATGAAACACCTTTAATAAGGTTTGGAATGATCATTTTAGTGTAAATGTGCAGGGGGAAAAAATCTGTTTATGATCATCTGGGCCAATTCAATGAGATCTGAGGGCCAACAAAATTACTTTGAGGGCTGCAATTGGCCCCTGGGCCTTAGTTTGAACAGTCCTGATTTAAGGTATGAATTACAATATACTATCTTGTTTTGTCCTTAGAAATGTTTTTGCCCTACTGCAGTGGTTTGGACAAGCGCATATGAAAATTGCGCCTCAGAAAATACATTTTGCAGCTTTTTCAAAATTAGACCAACAACATCAAGTTAAGACACAAATGAGCTCATTTAGACTAAGGTTAGATGAATAGTGATCAGAGTTTGTGTTAGGATTAGTCTCCAAGAAATGAATCTAAGTCAATGGACATGTCCCCACAAAGCATGGAAAGCTAAGCTGAGTATGTGCGTGCTGTTCACTCGACAACAGCGGCAGACAGGTGACCTCTGGGAAATGAGGATCTCAGTCAGGGCAGGCGGGCCAATTTGTTCAGAAAAGTGTGAGCAAGTGCCAGAGAGAGACAGCTAAAGATAAACAATGGAGGAAAAGAGGAACGATCTGAGGCTTTCTCCACAAATATTTGGACCAGATGTTACCAGTGTTATGTGGGACAGGTGGATTCTTGGTTTGATGGTCTTGGTCATGTTGGTCATGTTGTCCGTGTAATGGAATAACTAGGATTTAGAAGCAACAATAGCATGTGTATGTAAAAGAAAAATGCAAGGGGGAACTATAGTCAACACAACACAGTGATGCATCAAAAAGTCTCTATATTTATATTAAAGTTGAAGCAAGAAATTGTTACAAATAGTCACTTTCCTCAACTCTAAGATTAAAGGTCCCATATTATGCAAAATTGACTCTTGTGAGGTTTTGTTCCCTCATCAAAAACCTACCCAAAGTTGTGTTTTGCAAAGCTCAAAATGCTCTGTTTTGTTTCATTTGCACATTTTTGACAAATCCTTTATTATTAGTCTGTTTACATCTGCAAAGCTCAAAATGCTCTGTTCCACCTTGTGATGTCATGTAGTGGTAATTTTCAAGGTAACAGCTACTTTTTTAACCTTTTGTTGAATAGAGATCAGCAGTTCCAAGGTTAAAATTATCCAAATGATACTAGAGAAGGAGTGGCATTTAAAAACACAGTGGAGCACTTCCTGTATTCCTGTATGAATAAGTGGTGGTGTGTTCTGTTTTAGAGAAAACCCAGGCTAATTATGCAGGGTTTGTGTGTTAGACGTGTGTGAATGACATAAAACACAGCTCCTGGTAAGTTTGTGATAATAAAACAACAGATTTTATCAACTTTATAACAGATCAGAAAATTGCGTAATTTGGACCTTTAATAAAGGAAATGCTGATATGTGTATTTTTTTCCATGACAATCATCCTTAAACAGAAAACTAGACCTTTAATTATTTACTTAAGTTCATTCACATTTCTATTTGTATCACTTGTACAATTTAAATGCACTGTTAACCACTCGGCCTTACACATTTGAATGTCTATTATAAAAGACACATGTGGCCTGTAATGGATCTTTCTAATCAGTATTCAGATCTGGAGCCCTATCTGTCTCAGTGTAATTAAGAAGGATGTGGAGAGGTGAGACGTCATATGGGCTCTCAGGGGGGATCTGGTGTCATCTCTGAAGACCTCCATGTTTCACTGAGAATGATAACTGCAGCGTCGTATGGCACCACGTACACTTTCTATTGATTAATGTTAAAGTGCCATTGGACAATTTAGCTCTGTTCTGGGTGTAACACTGAAATCTAAATGCAATCTGATCCTATGTTCATTTCACAAGAGTTTTTAGAACAATAAACAAGAATAAAATGTAACTTGATTTAGCACACAGAGAAATCAGCAAAGTGCTTCTCAGCTAAATATGCACCTAATCACTCTTTCTCATTTCTTCATTTAAGACAGCACAGGGAACTTAACTTAAACCAAACTCATGAAGTCAAGCTGTGAAAGCAGATCAGCTTTTTGAGATCAGTTGCAGATACAGTTTGAATGGAAGAGTACAGTAATGGTCCATATTAGATGAACTGCTCCTTTTCTTGTGTCCTGGCCCAAAGCCGCTCATGACCACTGATCCTTAGAAAATGAAGGTGTGAACAGGTGTGGCACTGAATGGATGAAATATAAATATGAAAACAATAAATGCAATTATGGGTTTGAGTTGTTAATGTCTTGTGTAAAACACAAACCTCTTTACTGGTTTATTTCCTGTAAGACATCTCTGCACTGTTGAGCTTTGAAGTGGTCCCTAAATGCCACACAGATCTGAAAATCCATACTGGACCTGAAGAGGCAGAACGATGCTCCATGTGTAGAGTTACTCTCAGTGCAGGGGCCTGACCTCTCAGATACTGTTGCGCTTTAACGACTGCTTGTCAGAGCAGGGGACGGTCCCAGGACAAACGCATCAGTAATGTGCTACCAGACCTGATTTTAAATTGTTTTAAAAAACAGCTGTAGGTTCACTACAGCTAAAGCTTTGTTTACTTTGTTTGCTTGATGATATACAAATACATATCCTAAAATGCACATATATAAATATATATATATCATATGAATTTGTTTTATTTGTGTGTCTACACATATGAATAGTCATGATGACAATTCACTATGGAGATTTCTCATTTTAGATACTATTTTGTTTACTTTAACTGAAATATCAACAATTTTATATTTCCATATCTTACTAAAGACTATTACTTTACTTACTGAAATAAAAGTTTCCACAATATTCTCATTTATTGACGTGCAGTGGTGAAGCCAAAGTTTACCCAGTATCATGTTGTCCTCTGTGTCTGGAAAAACCTCGGCCTCAGATGGCTTTTCAATACTCAACTCAATTTGTGGTTTCTAGAGTTTCATTCAGACATATCCATTTTACTATAACTGTTATTATCCAGTGTGCACATGCTCTGTGAGCCTGAACAGTCTGGCTGGACTATCAAACTGTGTACGCACCACAGGCACAGTGCAGCAGCAGTACATTACACTATTCCTTTGCATACATGTTTAGTAGTGAAATTGTAATTGCATCTGAATGAAATGTTATTCATGAACGTGATCAATATCGCAAGATTTTAAAACAGTGTAGACTTATCAGAAATAATTTCTTAGTTGTTACAACATTTTCCATTTTTGCTAAATAAAAAAGTGATAAAGGCATACACACACATTTGAGGGCAGAATTGCATTATTTATAAAGTGCACCTATGTAAATAGATGCTCTGCATATTAGCAGAGAGGTTGATAACCTTGTGAAGTCTGACTTCATGGGCCTGTTCATATCAATATCTGTGCCTGGGCCCTGGCCTAGGCTGGATTACATTTACATGACTCACAGTGCCCCTGGGCAATAGGCCTTACCGTAGGACCAGAGGCTTTCAGACTACTAAATTATTCACTCATCACAAATCATAGTACACATTTACCACATGCTCCAGTTTCACATTTTGTTTTGGTAAAAACCTGATATTAGAGACTTGGCCTCAGAGGAGTGGCCCCTGAGCCAGGAAATGTGATCCTAAAAACCAAGGCCTAAGGCCAGTGATACATGTTTCTTAATACAAACATATTTAGTATTTTGACCCACATGCTACAGTGATCCCAAAATCAAACACAGGACTTGCTGAATAATAATTTTATGCTTTTTAAAAAGCCACATCAGAATATAATTATTCTCCCATTGAGTACATATTCCCCATTTCAGCTTATTATTGTTTATCCCTGATATCACTGGTATCAAGAAAAACATGCTGTGTTGTGGATGTTAATGTAGGGAGTATTTGGGACTTCAAAGATGTGAAGAGTGTCACTGAAATTGTGTGTACATTTGTGATGACTGCAGCAGCAGCTGTTTTCTGTGGTTTCTCTCATCCCTCTCACACTCTCACACAAACTGAAACCATAGCTGTGCTGAACAGGCCTCTGGGATTGGACAGTTAAACGTCCAATTAACAGAGGCGATCAATAGCTCTCCCTCCTGACTGGGCTAATTAACTGCTACTGTAACAAGAGAACTGCTCCAACACTGCCATGTTTACTCTGTTCTACACAGATAGGTCTTCAGGGGCTACAGGCGTTAACATATTTCTATACAACCATTTTTTAAACACACAAAATGTCCAACCGATCCTACTGAGGGGGGACAGGCTAGTATGTTATATTCAACGGCATTAGCCAGGAAAATCTTGGGTGTGAACATTCTTAACAGTTAAAACAATTTCATTATTTAAGTCACTCACACAAATAACATAAAAAACAGTGGCAGGAATCAGGCCCAACTCTAGTCTGCTGAATTTGAATGAGAAGAAAATTTTGGTGAGAAAATGTATATTTGCCTTAGATAGTAGCTTTGATTGGGCGCTACAGACGGCCCTGACAGGAATATGAACTACAGAAGCACATTCATCAGTATTTATATAAGCACACATTATTTAGTGACTGTTTCATTCACCAAACACAGTCTTACAACATCTCATAATACAGACTGCTATTTTTACTTTGAACCACATGCACCATTCAACCACTTTATTTACAGGAATATTCTACACACTTTTAAACTCTAAACTATTTACAACATTTCATGTTAATAATGAACCTGGTTTCTTACTGACAGACCACACACTCAACCACACTAGCACCTGTAAAACGTAAGAAGCCTCTTACGTAAACATAGATATGTTTTCTATATTTGCATACCCACATAACAATTGAAAATATAATTAATTTTTATTAATTATATTTTAACATAATACGACATCACCAGTCCAACCCATGGTTAAACCACATTGTGTGGACTTTACTTTAAGTCTTCACTGTGTTCACTCTGTCCCGATGGAGGTCTGTGAGATGAGGTGGTAGAGCCTGGTCTTCATGCTGTTCTGGTGAGACGGGCTGAAACTATTCCTCTGGTGCTCTTCCTCACACTCGTCGTCTTCATCGGAGCACTCCATGTTGTTGTTGACGTCTGAGTCTAGGTCAGCTCCTTTTAGAGTGGGACAGTCTTTGAAATATTCAATTTCCTCGACGCATGGAGGCTCATCGTCTTCATAACAGCTGCAGAGAAAGAAGCTTATGGTTGGAATAGGGCAGATTTCATAATTAAGTCAAATTTTTATTTTAATTATAGCATAAAACTAGTTTAGTATGTCTTTTATATCACTTCCAATCCATTGAACAAAATAAAAACATGGTTCAAATATGACTTCCTAAATATAAAATTATGTATCTTTTTCCACACACAATTAAAATAAATTATTGTGAAATTAATTGCTTAATAAAATGTGACAAAATGGTAAGTATTACTCTGAAAAGAATCCAGGGATTAGACCTTGAATAAACGTGTTAGAAATAACGTTGTCACAAGCAACAGGTACCAAATCTGTAATAAATGACTCATTATTTTACAAACTATTTTACATAGTCACCAATCCCCACAATAACTATTATTATTATTTAAGTTATTGTTTAAGATATTAGTTAATTCTGAACTGTATTTAAACTGCACATACACTACACTCCATGTGACCTTGGGCTCCTACAGTTGTAATGATTGACAGGTGACAGTAACGCTCATATCCAGTAATCTGATTAGCCAAAGCCTGTGGGACTGAGAGAGAGGGAAAAAGAGAGAGGAGGAAAGAGGTAGAGAAAAAGAGTGAGAGATGGTGTGGGCGCTCGTCAAAGGGGCATGTACAGACACACCAGGACTCCACTGGGATGGGGTATGTGACACGCACACTGATTCTCATTTTGGAGTGTCTGAGAAGAAGCACAGTGAAAAGGGAGAAGAACGGGGACTGAGAGAGCACCCAGACACGCTCAAAGGCAGCGTGAGGGGCCCTACACAGAATACCAATGTGGAGGGAGATTAGCAGTGGATTCAAGTCTGCCATGGATGTCAGAATACTGGATATAGTCTTTCAAAATCGCCAGAAATAGATAGTAGGGTGGTACTGAGAAAGTGTTTTTCTTCCTAGACATAAAGCTGTCATGGTGCTCATTTTCCTTGAGTTATTTTATTATCCTAAAGACGGTTTTATCTGGTCATTTCTGTAACTGTACATGTGTTTTGAGTTTTACTTCTTGTTGTGTTTATTTGCCCCGCCCTAATGTATCCCACCCATATCTCCTTCATCTGTGTGTGCATATATCAGTGTCATGTCCTGTTTCCATTTTGAATTTTTGTTTTTGGTTTTACTTCTGGTTGTTGTTTATGTTATATTAAAGAACTTTTCAAGAGCAGTCCTGAGTTTTGGGTCCTCCTTCTGTTTAAATTATGACAAAAGTTAGACATAATTTAAAAAAGACACATATAAGTACACAAAAAATAATCATCTCCAAAACAATTAATTTCACTTCTTTCTCCTATGGGGCATTATTTGAATTAAATAAGAAACATACAGATTATTTATTTGGCTCAGGTAAAGTTGCACTTTTTTGTCACTGTAGTTAGCAGTTTTATGTGCCCATTAAAACAGCATTGTTGGTTTGTGTGGTTGTTTGTACAATCATGGTGCACTTTGAGCTTTGTTTTGAGCACATGTTTTTTTTAACTACAAATGGCAAATAAACTAACTTAACCTAACCCAAGCTATAAATTGTACCATGCATTGTCTGTAGAGCTGTAGTCGACTAAATAAATTCTTGGTTGACTACAGACACGCCCTGTACATCGATCTACAAAGAAAAGTGGGCTAGAGTTGAGCTGGCAAAAGCTTTCAAAGTTATTAGGACATGGTGCAAAAACAATTATGTATGCAAGGACGTACTAGTAAACAGCATGTTAAGTGAAAAGGTAGATTAAACTGTCCAGTCATTCACAAAATCACAGCTAACTCACTCGCATGTCATCTCCTGCTGTTGTCCATATAAATCCTTTTAATCCTAATAATATAATTAATTCACAAACAAAAGATATGGCTGACTAAGACACTATAGAGTGATTGTGCTATTTATCCCTATAGCTCCGACTGCACATGTTTCGTATCATGACGGTTACTGAATAAACCCGCTTGAGCTAAATGTGGAGTTATTATTTAGACTAACATAAAAGATCCAGCCCTAAATATCTGACCTGTAAGAGTAAGTGATATTTATAACTTACTCATTGGACGTGTGGTCCAGAGTGTTATGGTCCAGGTCTATGTGATTGATGAGTCTCCTGCTGTAGAGGGTCTTCACGTCTTTGGAAACTGACAGCAAACTGTGGCAGAACTTGAGCCCCATTTCCTGCAGCTCTTTGGTTCCCAACTGTAAGCCCTGGTAACAAGGACAGTGCGATTTATTATAACCCCCAAAAAACATGCACCATAGATACAATCCTCCAGCTAAGCTCCTGAACAAGATTAGCAACAAAATCATGGAGATCAGGAGCACTGTGGTGCCCACTGCTCCTGACAAGTTGCCCCAGCAGAATGGGTCAAATGAAAAGGGCAAATTTCCCTAAGGGGGCAATAAAGTGTATCTTTATATATTCTATAATGTGCAGACAAAGACACTCTTCATGGTCAAGAGTGTCACTTCACAGAGTTACAACTGTTTGCCAGACTGCTGACTCTTTTTTTTTTTTTTTTTTTTTTCTTACAATTTTCTTCCTAATTCAGTTTGCTCTTTTGTATTACCTGAAGAATTAGGAACTGTTTTATCATGCCTTTTTGAGCTATTGTGTCCAACTATTTTCACTTATTCCATACTAAATATATCTAATCTCCATAGAGGCAAAATTACAGGTAAGATCTGTGCAGAGTAGAAATAGAAACAAGCAGGTAGCAACAAAAACAAAAAAATCCTCCAAAACAATACTGTTCTAACCTTGTATATTCCCTGGTCACAGCCGTTGTAGGTGCTCTCCATGGTGTAACTTCTGAGTACACCAATCTCCCTCCAGACCACCACTCTGGCCGTGGCTGAGCGAGATTTCTCCACCTATCACAAATAAACGCCCAGATCCATCAGGGAACTTATTCATATGAAAAATAAAGCATGTTTTCATTTATTTTACCAGGTAGTTGCAGCTGTTGAATGAAAACGCAGGAGCTATACGGTCCAAGGTCTTTGGAATGGTCTGATGAAACAAAGACATAGATGACAGTTCAACATGGCTTCACATCTTTGTATGTGTATTATCTAGAAATACCAAAATACTTTTCTACAACACTAAATAAATAAAGATGTATAGCAGAAGGTAGAGGTGAACAACTTATAGCGCACAATATCAGAATTGTCTTGCAAACTTACAGTATTGTCAAAATTATTTTTTTTTCTTAAAGAGCCAGTATTTTTTTCATCTATGTTATAATGTTGTCTCCTCATCAAAAACATCCTCGGAGTTGTGTTGTTTCATTCACACAAGATTAACCTACAAACCCATATTTAAGATGAGTTCTTCTCTCACACAGAAAACACTTGGTTCCACCTTGTGATGTCATGTGGTAATAGTGGTACGGAAGTGCTCCACTGTGCTTTTAAACTCCACGCACCTTCACTGAAATCCTCTGATTAATTCATGCCCTGGAATTTCCAGGCTCTATTGAAGTAAAGGTAAAAGGTAGCTGTTAACTTGAAAACTACCACTTCAGGACATCACAAGGTGGAACAGAGCATTGTGAGCTTTGTAGATATAGACAGACTAATAATGCAGTGTTACACAAACATGTGTGAATGAAACAAAACAACTCCAGGTATGTTTTTAAGGGGGAATATTATAACACTTAAAGCTCAAGAATAAATTTTGCATAATATACCTTTACATTTTTTGAGGGATTTCATTATTTAGAGAGATGATAAAACAAAATATCACTCAGTCATCACCGAGCTAAATGTATAAAAGCACACAACTCCATTCAACATCTGGTACAAAGAAGATTCAGAGCATGTGTACCCTGTAGCCAGGGTCCTCCTTCACACCCACAGTGTCCACCGCAGACTGCCACAGCGTCTCCTTCACACTGCAGCCGTACAAAAACACATTCTTCTTCCTCGAGTGACCGTGGTAGTCACAGTACACCTGTGTGCAAAACAATCTCTATTTATTTATCTATTTAGTTATTTTGGGACAAATTATGGACATAAGCATTGTCTAAAATTACCAGCCCTACCCTTTTACGGAAGAATAAAATACCTGTAATTGAATGATAAGTTTAATGCCATACTGGGGAAATTTCTGGGGTACCTTAGTAATCTCCTTAATGTCATCTTTGCTCCTCCTCCTAGTTACTTTTCACTGTGCCTCTGTGCTTCACTGAGCTGGGAAAATCTACCGTTTCCTACAGAGCACCATGGTCTTGGAATCATTTACATAAAGATCTTAAACTGGAATCTGTGGTGTCACTTGATAAATGTAAGAAAATTGTAAAAAGTGCGGTGACTGAGATGTGTATGTTTTTCTTGAGAAATGCGAATGGTTTTATAATGTGACATTTTTTGATTTTACTGTTTGTATTATTATTAATCTTTATTAAGGACACAGAAAGCACATATGGTCCATAGTTAAAATTCCCCAATATAGATATATATTGCACATTATTAAAAAGAAACAATATTACATAAAAAAGCGATACATAGAAGCAATATTATAATCTCTATTCCCTTACAGTATACATGAGCCAATAATGCCATATTTTGGAGATAAAGCTCACAGAGCTGACCACAGGACAGACTAAAACATAAATAACAGCATTAGAAGAGTCTAGACCAGGGGTGTCCAAACTTTTTTCATCAAGGGCCACATATCTAAACACAGATGAAGCAGAGGGCTGATCAAGGGCCGTAGACTGGTGCTCAGTTCAGTGAATAATTGAAATATGTGCATGCTTAACATGTTAGTATGAACCATCAGTCTTTATTCATGCTGAAATCCTTATAATCACACACTAAATATGAAATATAAGCTTTATCAAGGTAGATTCTCAAAAAACTTGCAGTAAAAAAATGATTGATTGTGATCAGTTAAATAAAGGTAAAATAAAATACTGTGGAACATTCCAGGCATTTTCAGAAATTTCCTCACAGACAAACAGGTGTAATATCTGACAAATCTAGTCAGATAAGCTATATATTCAAACTAAAAATATTTTCACATAAACCGCTATTGTTAGGTACAAGGTAATTCTTCAGTGTTTTGCTCTGAAAGTGCAGAGGCGTGCAGCTTGTTTTCAGTCTACCGTTCACTTGATGAATTGGACTAAAACACCACATCTCTCTAATCTTAGCCAATTAAAACAGCCAATGAAGGTCAATTCATTATAAGTCTCTCTCATTAACATCTCATTACATTTGCTTCAGCAGGTGCAAAGCACAAACATAGACACACCTTTCACACACCAATTGGGACAATCAGACATTAATTTGATTGTTAATAAACTTTTCATTGATTAGAAAATGTGCTGCTGATGGAATATCTTCTATGGTAAAAATAATCAAGAAATAAAATTGGATTGACTGGTGGTATCAACTCAGGTTAGAGTGAGATTGACTTTATTTATTTTTCCATTTTCTTTATTCAGATAGTCACAGTTTTGAGTTTCCTTTGGGACTGATGTTTCTTATCAGAATACCTTTAGAGCGCCACAGATTACATTAGTAAATAGGTGTGTTTTTGAAAAGAGATTAGTTTTATATTCCATAAAAATTGCCATAGAGAAAATTATTTTTCATTAAAAATCAATTCAGTTTGGAACTTTTCTTTACAAATTGCTGAGGGTTGAAATCTGTTTTAGCAAAATGTTTTTTGCTACATAGTTAAACACATTTAATATAAATAATCAGAGTTTGTTTGCCTGATGAACAACTTATCAGTATAAAAGACACCTGTCCACAACCTCAAACAGTCACTCCAAACTCCACTATGGTCAAGACCAAAGCGCTGTCAAAGGACACCAGAAACTAAACTGTAGACCTGCACCAGGCTGGGAAGAGTAAATCTGCAAAAGGTAAGCAGCTAGGTGTGAAGAAATCAACTGTGGGAGCAATTATTAGATAATGGAAGACATACAAGAACACTGATAATCTCCCTCGATCTGGGGCTCTACACAAGATCTCACCCCGTGGCGTCAAAATTAGAGCTGGGACCAAAGTAACAAAGGCTACCATCAGTATGACACTACACTGCCAGGGAGTCAAATACTGCAGTGCTAGACGTGTCCCCCTGCTCAAGCAAGTACATGTCTAGGCCCGTCTGAAGTTTGCTAGAGAGCATTTGGATGATCCAAAAGAGGATTGGGAGAATGCCCTATGGTCAGATGAAACCAAAACAGAACAGCTCTTTATTTAACAGTCATTTCACTCACTTCATTTATGTTGGTCACCTTATTTATTTTGGCTACTGTTGTGCTGAAAAGACTGAAAAGTGTCTTTTGGATGCATGCACACTAAACGTCATGTTGCAGAAACCGGGATACTGATTATACATGCACCATGACAAAACCGGGATACTCAAAAAACCAAAATGTGGAAAAGTTACCCTCTAGTTCAGTGGTCTCAAACTCACATAAGGGGCTCCGTGACCTGTATAATTCTATAATACAGGAAAATGTGCAACTAAAACAAGAGCTGGCCACCCCCAATGAAGTCACAGAAAAGTCTGATGAAAAAGACTTTGCAAAATTTACTTCTACTCTCCAGAAGAAGTAAAGCAACTACAAGACCTAGTGAAAGCACATAAGGAGATCCGGTACCTGTATAATTCTAAAGTACAGGAGCATGTGCAACTAAGGCAAGAGTTTGCCAACATCAAAAGAGTTAGGGAACAGATGAATGAAAAAGACTTGGAGTTGAAAGAGCTAAAAGCTAACCTCCTGAAAAAAGAGAAAGAGCTGGAAAACCAAGTTCGTGCGTACAAAGAATTAAGATATCAGTACAACAATACAGTGGCAGATGCTGTCCAGCTCAAACAAGAGCTGGCCAACACCAGGAAAGTCAATGAGAAGTTGAAAGAAAAAAATTAAAGAACCTACAATGGAGACTCAAACTACTTTTAATGACGTTGGTGGAGATCAAACCAACAATGAAAATGAAAAACTGTCCAGGAATGTGCAAGAGCTGTCTTCTGAACTCTTTTCAAAATGAGAGGAGCAGCATTTCCTGAAGCTTCATAGTGAACGTGAAAGATTCAGCCGCCCAAAAGGAGCAGCTGTAGTGAAGCAGCAGTGGAGGGAGTATAGGCGTCAACAGCGCTAAAGCACCTCCAAACATGACCCTTTGCATGCATTAATAAAAATAATGACAAAAAATATTTTAAATGTGTGGTTTGGCCTTTATTTAGTTCTTATTCATGTTTTATTGTTTGTTTTTTCTTCACATTGTTTAATTCAAATGCTAGCCACATAGCATACTGCAGTGGCTTGTTTTTTTCATGATAAAAGTCAAAAAAGATTAAAATGTGAATGTTCACTTTTCCCCCTCTAAACTATGATTTATTGCCTGTTGGAATCAAATGTAATGAGAGAGAGAAAGCTACAGCTGAACAGCTTAAACATACTAACATTGCAAATAATCAATAATCACAAAAATAAAAACACAAAAGAAATGAGTTTTTTGATGAGTAGATGCAATAGTTGATTTTATTCACAGTTTTTTTTATTGCTTACTCCTTCAACCCAGTTCGGTCTTAGTACAAGTTTTAATTTTGCTCAACTTATTGAGTTAAAATCAAAATAATGATATCATATAGTTTGCTATACAACATATAGTTATCAAATATCTTTATCTCATATCATGTGGCCCTTATCAAAGGTATCAGACTACACATTGCATTCATGTTTACTCTGTGTGAGACTCCATGATAGTTTGGTGGTCATACAGACGTGGACAAAATTGTTGGTACCCCTCTGGTAATGAAAGGAAAATCAACAATGGTCACTGAACTAACTTGATACTCCTAAAAACGTTTGTAAGTAATTGGACAATAGGGAAATGTTCAACTTAGGTGTGTCCTCTAATCTGCATCACAGGTGTCTTCAAACTTGTCCTCAGTCAGTGTGCCTGTTTAAAGGGGGACATGTGTCACTGTGCTGTTTGGAGACATGATGGATACAACGTTGAACATGGACCAGAGAAAGCGAAGAAGAGAACTATGTCAGGAGACTAGAAAGAAAATGATAGACAAGCAGTTTGATGTTTCTGTGGTTATAGTTATACATGTTATTCAGAAGAAGGTCCACAGCACTGGAGCCAACCTCCCTGGACGTGGCCGCAAGAGGAAAATTTATGACAAATTCAAGAGCTGGATCATACGAATGCTAACCAAAGAGCCCAGAACAACCTCCAAACAAATTAAATGTGAACTTAAAGGGCAAGGTACACTGTGTAGCTTGTGAGTTGGTGGGTCCGTCACTTGCTTGTCTCATAAACTCATAAAAATACAGTAATTCCATCTGTGAACAGGGGCGACACTCCACAGATCTGAATATTAATGTAGCGTAGTACCTGCTTGTCTCCCTCATGATGACAGTGCACCTTTAATATTATTTATTATATTAGTATTTCTACTCTTAGTATTTTCTTCTCTGCTGTAAATATTAATCATGTGCCTACTTGTGTGTAAAGACAGTTCATAAAAGAATCCCATACCAGAGGTGTCCTTCCTATGCTGTTGAGATAATAGAGAAATCCCTTGGTGTGGTAGATGGTTGGACTGAGGACTGGGTCGGGTTTAGACCATTGTCGGTTCAGATCCTCACTGTTCAGATTACAGCGGTTTCTGCGGACATATACAAATGGACACAAATTAAATCAGAAAGGACATAATTACTATACATTATGAGATTTTGCAGACTTTCACAGATTTGTTTAAATGAAAATAAACTTATCTTAAAATCTAATTACCACCACTCATAATTGGACACAGTCATGTTAAGTCATGTTACCGCAACAGTCGTGTTTTGTGTCATTCACACATATTTGAATAATCCTTTTTTATTAGTCTGTCTACATCTCCAAAGCTCAAATGCTTTGTGCCATCTTGTGATGTCATGAAGCAGTAGTTTTCAAGTGAACAACTCCTTTTACCTTTTGTTTGTTAGACTTTGGAACTTCTGGGGATGAAATTATCAAATTAAATTATTTGAATGCAGGTGTATGGACTTAAATACATTGTATTACCACATGACATCACAAGGTGGAACAAAGTTTTCTGTTTGAGAGAAGAACTCAGCCTAAATATGCAGAGTTTGTGTGTTGAACATGTGTGAATGAAACACAACTCCAGTTATATTTTTGATGTGGAAACAACATTATAACAGATCAAAAATACAGTATTATGGGCCCTTTAAGAGAATTGCAGCTACTATGTAAACGCAGGTAAATCAGTATGTTTTTTCAGTGGCTGTACTCACGTGCCGTTGATGACGCCATCCGGGTTCAATATTGGGATGATCTTAAAGACAAACGTTTCCCTTAAACTCTGGGCTACTGGGTCATTACTGCAGAGGAACTCCAGCGTGCCCTTCATAACCCAGCTGGCATTGGACTCACCAGGATGGACCCTTCCAGTCAGCACAATGTAGGTGCGATTACCTGAAGAATCACAACATCTACTCAAAACAAGTCAAAAATGGAAACACAAATTGAGTGTGGGTCAAATGACAAAATAAAAGGAAATTATAAAATGCCCCTCTCACACTCTGGGATCTATATATATTACATTATATTGTAATTTGTGGCATTTCTGTTTAGTGCAGGTCAGTGCTAAAGCAGATATTATGTCTTATTGTTCAACCTCTAAGGGTGAGTGACAGTCAAATTCAACCAATCACAGCGAGATGGGAACTCTTTGAAGAATTTTATAACTCTAATTACCACCTAAAAATAAAGCTACTTCTCAAAACCTTAACTCAGCTAAACCCTATACCCAGAAATACACAAATAAACATGAAGATATTAAACTATTTCATTTAAATGCATGAGTGAAATTAAAGATACACTATGAAAGTTTTCTGCTTGGAGATGGTTTTCCTTTACTTGGAATGTTCCACAATATGACATTAGATTATTAACCTTTTGGACAGGGTGACAGTAGCTCAGTTGGTTAGAGTGTCCACTGAACAGATGGTTGGTGGTTCAAATCCTGCTCTTAACATAAACGTCTCTGGTTGAGCAGTCAGATCCACTGATTCACAGACTGGGTGTATGATTCTAACTCCCACAGATGAATGCTGTCATTGTGTCCTTGGACAAGACACTTAATGCACCTTGCCCCTAGTGTTTGCGTACACTGACGTATAAATGTGTGTGTGAATGGGTGATGGTTCTTTGAAGTAAAGCGCTTTGAGTGTTTTGAAGGTGGAAAAGCTCTATATAAGAATGGGACCATTTACCATGACCATTTGGTGGTAGAAAATGCCAGACAAGTTATCTATTGCACCTTTAAAATACTAACATTCTAAAACATGTTCTGCATTTGACAGCTGGTAATAAACAGCCAGCTCAGATCTGCATCTGTGCCCCTGTGAAACAGAAGCCAGTGTAGTGCTCTATAATAGTTTTCTAATATGGAAATGCAGTAGTGACTCTTGTGTGGGTTTTTTTTCTCAATAAATAATCTCTTCATATTTCCATAAGCACAGGATCACTGAGTTTCAATCTCCCACTGCAAAGTAAACAAAGCGTGGGATATCGGTCTCTGTCAGGATGTGGTTTGCAGTATACAACAGCAGAAACATCTGTGGTCACATAGACGATAAATAAAGTCACAGCACACAGGTAAAGCCATCTCATATTGACTTAATACATAGGATAACTATTCTAATAAATTGTTTCTGTCAGTGGAAATCTCTTTTTCTCCATGCATGATGAACAAGAATTACACTATGAATCGCACTTTTATCCTATTCTTAGACGTATTTTAAATGTCTGTGAGCATACAGTAGGTTCAGTGTTTTGTAGACTATGAACACCAGTACTAGAATTCTGAAATTAATCTGTTAATCTGTAATTGTGGTTTAGAGCAGAGTTTGGAAATTAATATTATTTAAAAAATTTATAAGACAAAACTAAACCAAACAAAAAATTGTGAATGAATAAGAGGTGAATAGGAGGTTTTTGGACATAAATCTAATCTAAGACCAAGCTAAGAAGCAATACATTTAAGTGTTTCAATCAATATGAGCAATAATAATCAAGTAGTATTAAATTTTAATGTATTCAAGAAGGTGGAGGTTTTAATATAAGCCCTTGTTTTGTTTTTTTCTTTCTGCACCTACTTTTTTATCTAGTGTGTCTTTTTATATAGTTATATGTTATATATGTGTCTTCCGTGTACTCAACTTCAAGTGTTATTTATTGCTCTAAAAACACCATTTATTCATTGCTCTAAAAACATCCATTCTTACTGTGAGTGGGGTCACCATCTAACCTGTAATTTAGCTGACAAATATCCATGGAGACTCTTAAATTACGGCCACACTGTGGAACATTCTAGGCACATCGCCACAAAAACAAGCAGGTGAAAGACCCTCCAGCAGACAAGTTACACAGTGCACCTTTAAGTTAAGGATTTTTATATTTTTATTCATGTCTTATAATAAATGTGGGCTTTTCCTTTTCAGCATAAATAGCTGTGTACTTACGTAGCTGATGTAGGTCCTTCCATCCCCGACTGGCCGGACAGGCAGTGATCGTGACCAGTGGACAAGAGTTTTCTGCCAAAGACCCACACAGAGTCTGCTGCCGGAAAAACACTTTGGCAGGATCCACTGACTTTTGCAGCACCTTGAGATGGGCCTGGGACACAGTTTGTACAAGTCAGAAATCATTCTAAACAGATCAGGAATAGTAAAGCTCCTGAAGTACCTTCAGTGCAGAGTATGAGTATGGATAGTGGTAGGCCAGGTAGCACACGTCCTCACTGTGTTTGAACGTGACGCTAAATGTCAGTGTATAAAAATTGGCAGTCTTACTGCCTCGTACAGGGCAAAAGTGGTTTCTGCAGGATACAACAATAGTGGACTAAATTAACATAAAACGCCTACTGAAAAAGGAAAAATAAAAACTCCAAATACTTATGACTTTACAGTATTTGTACCTGTAGTAGCAGATTTCAGTTCCAGTTCGAACCCAGTGAGGTCGACCTTCTAGAGCCTCTCTCACAGAATACAGGACTGGCTGCATGCCTGTGATACAAAGACACACACTTTTTATTTACAATGTACACTACTTTATGAAAAAAAAATTATCCCACCAAGATGAGAATGAGTAGTTGTACATTATTAAATAAGCAAAGAACAAATTTAAAACCTCAAAATCTACCATTATTCTAAACACTACCACCTCTTACTCAATAGTGAAAGTGGGCTAAAGACATACCCCAAGATTATTTAAAGGTGCACTGTGTAACTTTTCTGGTAGAGGGTCAGTCACCTGCTTTTCTCCATGGAGATGTTGCCTGGAGTGTTCCACAGTATGACATTACACTTATTTAGCTTTACAGAGACAGCAGGTGACACCATAGTGTCAAATTACATGTCAGATCTGTGGAGAGGCGAGCCTACTCACAATAAGAATGCAAGTTTTTTTAAGTCAATAAAAACTCATAATTGAGTAAATGCAAAATGGACATGTTTATTGCCATACCAGGACATTGTAGACAAAGTAGTATCTCCATGGAGACAAGCAAATGGCAGACCCTCCACTAGAAAAGTTACGTAGTGCACCTTTATTGTTGATGTATTGCAAATGTACTAAATGTGCACAAAAGATGATTATTAAATAGTTGTTTTGTAATAACAGTGCACAACATTGCAATCTGTTTCATAGAAGCATATTTTGTGATGGCTTTGACGATGGTGGGATATAGTCGCTGCTAACAGAGGGCCCTTTTTTGTTCAACAGCTGGAAAGCCTTTGCTCACCCCCAAACGCATCAACATTCAGAGGTCCAAAATACAGTTGACTTTCTGTCTGTCAGCAAATTACAACCTTTCAGAAGAAAAGTCATTTTCGTAACAATACCTAGGGTCTATTTGGGAAGACAAGCCTTTCTTCTATTCATTCATCCCTTCCTGAGATGAAAATGATTTCCTATGGGACGTTATCAGAGGCTATTTTCTGCTACAAAGGACACTGCATAAATGAGTGTGTGAGGAAGTGTATTTGAAACGAAAGATGCTATGGGAGAAATGCCCTTTTGTAAGTCCATTTGTGCACGCCTTAGAGGTAATAGATGGTGTATTATGGCAGCAGAGATGTCTGTACAAAGCTCCATCAACTGTCACTCAGCGAGAGGTCAAAGGGCAGGGGCCACACCAAACAACTGTCTCCATCTGACAGAAAGCTATAAGAGGCAGTCATTGTTAGCCAGAGGCAGTCTCAGAACAACCCGTCTATTCTGGCAAAGAGACTCAACCATTCATAAAACATGTTATATGTCAAGCATACATAGTTTAAACATACAATATCAGTGTTATTCAATTGTGTTAAATGAGCACAACTTGACTTTTCTGGCTTTCGCTTACCATAGTTGAACTGGCTGTTGGTCTTTTCACAGTTGATGATGTTGAAGCGGTAGGGCACACCTGGTTCCATGTTACTGACCTCAAAGTAAAACCACTGACTGTTCTGACAGCTGTTCACATCAGCGTTCAGAATCAGATCATATTCATATCTGAAGAGGGTAAAATGATCATATAGTCTTTTCATATACTTTAAATTTATTATAGAGCTCAGGATAGCGCTTACCTGCGGACCTGAACAGCTTTCCGGAGGTTTCCACATTCAAACTTGGAGAAGAACTTGAGCGACTCTGTGCTGTCAGATGGGCACTGCAGACTGACAAACAGAACTTTTCCTGAGTCTGGCTCTACAGCATAACATTGTACTGTATAAGCAAAAATACATGTCAGTCACATACCTGCTGTCGTTCACGTCAAAAATAACCTTGTTGATGATGTCATCTTTATTCAGGAAGCGCTGGACATCCTCCAACACTTTCTGCCTAAGAGAGAAGACAGTGTCTCCAGTGAATGACTTGGCAAGTTTAACAATGACAAACTCCAACAACACATGGGGTCCAGTTACTGTGTACTACACTGTAATCTGAACACCTTTAGTAAAGGCAGAATAACAGTACTTTTTTATAGTAACAGTAACAGCCCTTGTTTTTATAGGAGCTCTATGTAACTTTTCTGGTAGAAGTCCCCATGGAAATTGCTTTGCCTTGTCCAACAGTATGGTAATAAACGTACCCATTTCCAAAGAGATGAGCAGGTGATGCCACAGGGGCAGTTTACAGGTCAGATCTGTGGAGTGACAATCTCGCTCTGCTACATTCTGCTAAAAATTTAGAAGGTTTTTCTTAGCAATATAAACAACTATAATAGAGTAAATAAAAAAAAAGGATTAAGTTTAAGTGGAACATCCAGGCAAAGCAATAACATCTCTATGGTAACAGACCACTACCAGAAAACTTACACTTTGCACCTTTGAGAGACAACTTTAAAAATGTTCCTTCCAAAGAAATCCGGCAAGTTATATCTACAGTAGCTGTGGTAGTGACAATACCACCATGCATATTTAGTAAATGTGGTCCAGACATGAGTAACTATGGCAACGCGTTAAAAAAATCCTTTACATCATGTCTAATTTTACATTGCACCTGGGACAATTTTCTCATAATGCCCCCTCAGAAATGGCACTGGCATCCGCTCTGTTAAGGGACTGCAGGCGCCTAAACATGCTCTCTTTAGATGAGCACCAACAAACTGGCAACATAATTAGATTAAGGTCAAAGGGAAATTGCATCTTTAACATTTTTAAATGTCAGCATCTGCCGACCTCTTGAAAATGCTGAGAAAATGTCTCAGAGGAGCCCGGTTGAAAGGCAGTACACACACTTTATGTTCAAGTTCAAATACAAAAACATAAGTAAAACCTTCCATTGTTTTACTCCTGGATTTTAGCATTTAAAGATTATGACTTCTGTTACTATAGAACTAACTATATTTTGAACTAACTAACTATTTTGCAGTGACATTATGCTGGGGGTGTTTTGGCAAAATATCCATCAGTTACCATGGTGAGGCAATGCACACATTAGCAAACACAGCGAAAAAAGTTTTTAGGACCCTGTGATCAATATGAGCATGCTTGTGACTGTAATGTTATTTCAGAGGGACTTGTTCAGCAGTACAAAATCAGCTTACCTTTTGTAGTTCCACTTAAGTCAGTTCTTTTTGGTCAGACTGCGTTAAACTAAAGCACAGGTTAAAGTTTACCAAAGTCTCAGACAGAGCAGTGCCTACAGTTAGCATTGCTCCCCCAGGGAATGTTGATGACATCACTTGCAAAGTATCTAGAGTAACGCGGTAGACATTGTAAACTGGCATCCTCTTGATGTCATGGAGCAACGGCTCTACTCCGAGCTCCTCCTGTGTGGCTGAGCTCCTTACCCTATCTCTAAGGGAGCTCCCCGTCATCCTGCGGAGGAAAATCATTTTGACTGATTGTATCCATGATCTTGTCCTTTCGGTCATTACCCAGAGCTCATGACCATAGGTGAGGGCAGGAATGTGTATTGGCTTTGCATTTCCCTATTCACCACAATGGTCTGATACAGTGACCGCATCACTGCCAACGCTGCACCAATCCGCTTGTGAATCTCATGCTTCATCCTCCCCTCACTCATGAACAAGACCCTGAGATACTTGAACTCCTTCACTTGAGGCAGGGACTCTCCACCCACCCGAAGAGGGCGAGCCACCTTTTTCTGGTCAGAACCATGGATCCACGGATTTGGAACCCAATTCCTTGATTGTTATAAACATTAACCCCCATTTTATATTTTACAAGTGATGAGATGATGATCTGATGATGATGAGGATGAGTTGAATAATTCTAGCTCAAACACCAAAACAACAAGCTCAGACGCTGTACAGTGGTGGAATAAGAGTTATGCATGTACTTCCTTTGTTTACAAGGCCCTGCTGGTGGTGGGGACTTGAAATAAAAAACACTGTGGCACTCACTCTCAGCAACAATCAGCGTAGAGAAGAAGAGGGTTCCGTTGAGAAGCACTGTAGAGTTTTACACACTGCTTTAAACAAACAGTTGTATCTTTTTGGCCTTTGTGTTTGGGTCATCTTCAGGTACAAATATACCCAGGAATGATCCAGCAGGTTTGTATTATAGCCCCCCACTTTAACATCCACTGTTCTGTGTTCCTTTTGCTGTCTATTTAATGCAATTCTTTGCAGCCCTAACAGCAAAAAATATGAAGTTAAAAGAAATGCTAAATCTACCTTCTTCAATGTAATAAGGTCCCAGTCCATAAATTCTCATCCTTCCTTTACACATCTCACTTTTTGCTGTGAGACAGTCACTCTCCTTTTTCATGTGATCTGATCATCTCTAAATGAACTTAATTGAGGCATTTTAACAAAATTAAATTAATCTGATTACATAGCCATATGGCATACTAGTCCCCAAACAAACAAAAATGATTTAATGAGCACAAAGTTAAATAATAATGTTTGTGGTATTCTTCCAGCAGCTAAATCAACAAACATACCATTAATGTTTGTGCAGAGACGAATAGACCACAGTACAATAAAAGTATTAAAGACATATAGATGATGATAATATAACATGGATAGTCATAGATACACTGAGGCCATTGGAGAAGACACAGGCACAGCTATAGAATAAGGCTTTCCTGGCTGTCAGATCAACTGCAGAGCAGAGAAGATGGCGTAATAAAAGAAGAGATGGAGAAATAATGGAATGTGACAGGGAGCCTGAGATATCGGCGGGGTGTGGGAGACGGTAATAAGTGAAGAAAGAAGTGTGTGTGGTGGAGTATGGGACAGGTGCAGGAGGAGAGGACACAGTGATCCTGTTCTGTCCCACTACACGCTCTGTCTGACGGCCGCTCTGTGGGAAATCACATCCAACTGACTCGCGGTTTGTGATTCAGCAAACAGCATCTGAGAGCTTTGTTCTGCACAGTTTGACTCTGGATGTGACTGTCCCACACATTTAGGTCTGCTGTGACACATTATATTTCATACAACAAAATGAAGACACTACACACTTCTGCAACAGATCGCCTCAAAAGACAAACTACCATAAAAACTCCAAGACTGCTAAGGTAAAGCAATTTTTGTTGTATTAGTGAAGAAAGATAGTGCACAAACATTAAAATACATACTTATGATGTGTTTCGATGTTTGGGAATCTGTGGTGTTTATCACAGTAGATCCTTGTTCTCCATATTTACAGAACATCAGTGCAAATGTTCACAGCTGAAAGAGCCTCATGCAACAGTTACTTGATATCTGTGTGTCATCAACATTCACGGGGTGTGTGAAGCTAATTGTCTGCACTGGTCTGTCTGCAGCTCTGTTACTCTGAGTTTAGTTTTAAAACAATCTGACCAGAAAGAACTGACTTACCTGGAACTACAACAGGTGATTTTTACTGTTAAAACAAGTCCCTCTCAAAAAACATTACTGTCACAAGCTAGTTAGCATGAGCCAACAGTTTCCCAGTTAGTCGCTGTCACCTTTTAGTTGAAAATCAAACATTTACACAAGACCATGAACGCTCTTATTGATCACAGACGCCTGAATTCAAATTCATTTGGCATTTTTTCTTGAGTTTTTTTGGTAACTATTGCTACAGGATCATGATAACTTCTGAACATTCTGCCATAGTGAAAACAACAAAGTTAAATAGTACCTCTGCACATTGGGTTTACGTGGAGCCATCGTTTCGTGTCCTTGTGGTGGAAGGTGACCCCAGAAGTCAGGAAAGCCCAGGATGTTGAAGTCAGGAATGGACTTGGTTTTGGAGGCAGCAGAGCGGTACAGCTTGGGGTCGTGGTGAGGGATACATGAGGCATTTCTCTCCAGTAATCGATCTATGATGGTCTGATGGCAGCTCTCATCTCCTGTCTCCTCTTCGTCATTATGACCATGGCCATTTTGATGCAGGAAGTTGTCTCCCCTTTAAAAGAGAGAACAAAAATTAGCACTGACAAATTATCTTTCTGGCTTTAGAGCAGTTTCTGATTGTGCATCATGACAGATATGTCCAGCTCTGTGTTTTAATGAGGAGGGTATGGACCAGACCATACAGAGCATCAGACAATAGCCCATGTGTTTCTCTACCTTTGTAAAGAATGGCAAAAGCATGTGGTCTTTGCTGCCCAGGCAAACATCAAGTGTCTTGGAATGTGCTGTATTTAAAGCTGAGCTAAAGAGAGATCCTTTTTACTGTACCTTGAGTCTTTTGGCGTAGTTCTAAAACTAGGACTGGTGCCAAGGACAGTGGAGCGAATGTGAAAATCACGAGAATCTGATTGTGCAGCACCTGTACAATAAAGAGCAAGAAAAAATATAACTAAATTGTTGTTCAGAATGGTATAGTTTGTAAAAGATGGACTTTGTAGTTAATAGATATTGTATAAAATATAACTAAATAAGCTTCTAAGTCTAGTGCTGCATTATGTAATTCCTCCCACCTTTAGAGTATTTCCCCTGGAATGGATCAGTCCCATGTATTTGAGAGCCGTGAGGTGAAGAGCTGTAGCAGAGCTCATCTTCCTCATCTGATGAAGATGCTGCTGAACTTTTCTCTGTTTCTGAACCCAAATCTAGCTCCTGTGGCAAACAAAAAATTGTAGTATTTTTTTTTTTAGAGTTAGTTACAGTGCCTGTCTATACTGTCATTTTCAACAACCTGGTATTAATAAAAGAGGTTGTCTGAGATGCATAACAGGGATATCCAAACAAACATAATCAAAAGACCTAAGAAGTTAAAATGAATAAGATAATGTTAGCATGTTTACAGTTTCTAAAATAACCTGTAAGTTTAAAACAGTCCTGCAGAATCTCCATTAGTCTAAAAGGAGAACATTAATCAAGAGTTGTGTCAGACCAGATCCTGTGTTGTATGACATGAAATATTACCTCAGACGGAGACACTCATTTATTATCTATTCCACTATTTCTGTGTCTTGATGCATGGGCACATTTATTCTCATTTTAAGATTGTATCTTAAGCACCATGGCATGCATATCAGCATGTAGAAAACAGGTCAACCCCACTTTGCTCCCAAAAAAACAAAAACAATGCCATTCACTCTACAAAAAGGCCCTGAGTTGAGCCAATGTAAGATCTAGTCTGACCTCATAAGCTAAGCATTGTTGGGCCTGGTTAGTACTGGGATGACATACCACTGAGAATACCAGGTGTTGTAGTGGGGCAGCAGCAGTGCCTCTAGAGCAAACTGTTGTTGTGCCTTTAGGCAAGACATTTCACCCACATTGCTTATGTATAAATGTTGAGTGTGAGTGTAGCTGTAGAGTATGGGATAAATCAATAATGCACAAATCTGTACCATGACCTTGAGCATCTGAAAAAGCGCTATATAAGAGAGATATGGAGGGTGAGTTATTACCTGAAAGTCATGGTAGAGCTCAGGGCAAAAAACGTTGTACTGTGCTAGGGCCTCTTTAGGTCTGTCTGGCTCAGGCCGATGGCGTAGTTTATTCAGATCAATCTCCAAATCTTCATCCTTAATAAGACAATTATTACTGTTATAAATGCATAGTATAGTGTTTATGTTGCCATTTTAGTCACTATTTTATCCCAAGATGAACAAATAAAAATACAAATGACTATTTATGAAATCATGAAGATCAGATGAGAATTTTTAAGAGACTGTGGCCACAGAATACACAGGTTTGATGAGGCAGGTTGAGTTGGAGGCTGTGTGCCTGGGAGGAGCAGGGAAAATGTCAAGGATTAGTGGGATCAGAGTGTGCACCTGCTCTGATACAATACACCACAGGGAGCAGTCGCAGCTCAAACTGCAAACGAGTGGTAAAACCATATATAAATAACATAAGATTAATAAATGCAAATAAACAAAGTCTTCTGGTGGCTTAGTTTGTCTAATGATAAAGGGTGTGTAAAAGTCAAAATAAGGCAACTGCACCACCACATTATTGTAAGTAATGGCATTTAGTTTGATCTCTGGGGAATAGACATCTAAATGTTAAGCACCCATTTAAACATAATTTAATATAAAGAGTGATGTGAATTTGCTAAAAGAGCACCTGTCTTGTTAGATAAATACCATGTGGATTTAAAAAGAGTAATGTATTATATATATATTAATAATGTAATATTTTAGCATATATGTCGTCTTCAAATCATGTAACTGTATGCTTGAAGAGATACAGCACTCACAAAGTTATTGTTTTCAGTCTCCTGATTTTTCTCAGGTTCCTCTTCGTCGCTGTCCCCACAGCTGTCACCTACAACAAGAATAAAAAACACATCCCATTCATATCCATATCCATATCATATCCATATTAAGAAATACAGTATACAGGGCACCAGTGTAATTCCAGTGTAATTTGTACCGAATGCAATGTTGACATGAAGGTCAGAGCGGGGTCGTCCTGGTATTGGAAAGGAGTATGCAGACAGATCTGAGGTCAGAGGAAGGCGGGTTTTAGGCAGACATTTTCTCATGAGCTGAACTGAGGGCTCCACGAGACAGGAGAGAGCTTTATTCATCAAACATGTCTGCACAGAGTAAAGAAGTAATAGAAACCATGTAAGCTGTAATAAAAAAAATAATGTAAAGTGATGCTGTCACATTGTTGAGTCATACAGAGACATAAATGTGAGTGGGTCACCTGTGTTGTTTGGTAGATGAGGCGGAGGCCTCCGAGTGAAAAGAATGCCTCTCTGCCTGCAGTACTGTAAGTGACCTTATGAAGGCAACGCAGCAGCGCATGGCGGATTGCTATGGCAACATGATGAGTATCCTTGCAGTGCCAGTCTTCGTAAAGCCGCAAGAGTCCAGAGATGTAGCCTTTAGATACCACCAGGCAGACGTTAGCCTCTGAAGAGAAAGAGGAGAGGAACAGCATTACAACCATATCAAACCTGTGAAACTGAACAGACAGCATTCAAATACAAGTCATTCATGGTTGTCAAGGAACACAGTTATTAGTAACTGTTGGACCATATGTTTAGCCTGAGAATTTGTGTTTTTACAGATAACAGGGGTTATCTAAACACTACCTCAATTAATCACTCCAATACAATTAATCCTCTTTGAAACTTTCCTTAAGGCCAACAACAACTTCAACCGCAATATCAAACTGGCATACAGACTGCTCAAATGCTCTAACAATCTACAATGCAACACTGACCCCTGTGGGACATATATAACAGTTGCATATGAGACATGTCTAAGTCAAATAAACTTACTTGTGCAGAGCACAGCCGCAAAAGCATTAATGGCTGCCCTGAAAAAGAATGATGGTAGTTAGATCATCATCACGTGTGTGCGAATGTCTATATATATATATATATATATATATATATATATATATACTATATATATATATATATATCTATTGTGTAAGCTGTAGTCACAGTGTTATTATCTGAGCTGGTGTTGTAATTGTCACAAATAAACTATGACTGGTCATAGATGATTTTAAATAAAATTGTTTACACTGTGTGGTCTGAAAAGGTGTCTGTCAAGTCAACCCACCACAAGAAATATCCTTTTGCACAAACACGTGCTTCTATGTAGACATGCATTGTACGCATTATATTACACTATTGGTATAATGTTGCTGTCAGTAAGTAAACTGGGCCTCAGTGGCAGGAGCAGGGTCAACAGAGGCCACAAGTTCACACATGGTTCTAAGGAAAGGGCAGTCAGTCTGACCTCAGTGCACTCTAATTCATTCTAACTCATTCATTCACTCTAATTCATTGTGAATTTAAATTTTTGCACACAAAAAAAAATTCTAAAACAAAATAAAAATAATAATAATAATAATAATAAAGTTAAGTGAATAAAATAAAAATAGTGTTTAAAAATATGTAAAATATAATGACTGAATTAAAAAACAGTGTAGATGAGTGTGTGAGAAGACTATATTTCTCGGAAAGGTTTCACAAAGGGTACAATGTCAATCATTTGGGGAGCCCAGAGTAATGAGGGCTGCTGGTGACAGCAGGAAATTGACTTTATCCATAGATTTAGCTGTAGAACATCGGACAGCTTGACTGATATCACTGTTTTAACGTGTGGACAGCAGTCAAGCAGCACATTCAGTGGCACTATGCTGCATAGATCACTCTGACTGACGCATCACACAAATGCCTTGTTTCTCTGGTTACATCAAAGGCATTCCCAGCTCCCAATTAGTCAAAGTCAAAGGAGCTGCACGCGTTGTTATGGAATCTCACAATCTTCCCAATAAGTTAGCTCCTCGTGTCATGTGTGATATGCACAAATGTAAACTTGGGCACTAAAACATTTAATGTCCCATGAAACGACATATTTACGAGGTGCAATAGTGAGTGCATGAATATGGCAGGGAGCCAGACCTCTTGGCTCTAACTTCAGTAAGCTACTTGAGCCAATGCTTCTACTTTTGACATAGATAGATGGGAAGATATCAGATGGACCTTGTCTTCTTATGTAAGAACCATGTTGCACCAAAAGTAAATTCTTCAGTAACATGAGAGTGACCATTTTAACTCAGGGGAATAAGACTTACAACCTACAGGGTGTAAATTCACAATAAACTTTGCATGGGTTCAATAGACACAAATATACAGTATGTGATGTCAGTTTACTGTATATGCTGAACAAGAAAATATAACTGAGTGGCCATCAGTTAAACTTGCAACACATGAAAAAAAAAGTTGTTTTTCACTACTTACAGAGGGACTTATTTGAAACATATTTGAAAGTTATTTCTTGTCATTAACCCTTCAATGGCTGTGCTCTGGACGTGTGAGAAAAGGATCCAGTGTCACACAGGGTCAGTCCTGGGGCATTACACGTGTCATCTATCATTCATAGTTGCTGACACTGCCAGCTACCAGGAGGCGTTGAGTTGACAGAGTGATATTTTTAAGACAACTCTGTACTGTACTGCACTGTTGTTAAAAATACACTGGTCAGAGCCATGCAGAGTCTATTTACAGATTATTGTGTGTTGCACTAGTATCGCCGGTCGAGGTACATACTTGATAGTGTGAAGGTTCTTAGTGGTATAATGCGGGATGAGGCGATATATGACATCTAGTCCACAGTTTTCTCCAATCAGGTTTGCTGTAGACACTGAAACACAGAAATTACTACCTTTCATTACCTTTCATTTGTTCCAACACAGACAACTTGTGGTCATAGTTATTATTAGTTATTATCAAAATGCTCTTTTCCACATTGTGATGTCATGAAGCATTAGTTTTCTAGTTTACCTTTTATCTTTTGGTTCAGTAGAGATTGACAATTCCTGATCTGAAATCATCCAAATGATACTAGTGAAGGTGTATGGAGTTGAAAAACACAGTGGAGCACTTCTTGTATTAGCACGTGACATCACAGAGTGGAGTGTTTTCTATCTGAGAGAAGAACTCAGCCTGAATATGCAGAGTTTGTGTATTAAACATGTGTGAATGAAACAATGATAAAAAAACATTAAAACATAGATCAGAAAATAGCATAATATGGAAACTTTAACTCATGCTGTTTAGAATATATGGGTTAATACAGTATGCATGAAGGAATTGCAGTTGCATGAAAAATGTCCATAGTTTTAATGTTTGCATGTATTCAAATAAAAATAATTAATGGGATAACATTATTTTACCTGAAGAAGCAAACACTTGAATAACCCAGAGGCAGGCAGCAGCTCGTTTGGCATTTTTGAGATTTTGTTTAAGCAGATTTAAAGTCAGGACAACAGCACCAGCATCTTCTGCCTTCATCCCAATCCGGCGATCTAAACGATATACAAATTAATTAGCAAAAATACACAATATTGAGTCCTGTTACAGATCTAGTACCTCTGTGTCCCACTTTGGCCAGCAGATGCAGCAGGGGGAGAAGAATGGTGTAGTTGGGACTGAAGCAGCGGGCTGTGTTGACTAGTGCAGTGAGCAGAGCCTCGCTTCCTCCTTTACTGATCATGTAGTAGATGCGACGATCTGTGCCTAATGACAGATGAAGCTGAGCACATGTACAATCTAAAACACAACATTTAAAGGTGCACTGTGGAACTTTTCTGCTGGAGGTTCTGCTACTTTCTTATATGAGATGGTATTTCCTGGGATAGACTGACAGAGAGGCTGCCCATCCTCACCATCATCCCCCTCCGACCAACACTCATGTTCACAGCTCTTTCATACTTGGCAATGTGGGTGAAGTGTCTTACCTATGGACACAGTGTCAGTATTTGTGCTTCACTGTGGCACCTAGAATTCCCAACGGTCTCCCATCCAAGTACTATCCCAGGCCCTGCCCTGCTTAACTCCTGAGGTGTGACAAGATCTGGCTTTGACAAGGACGTCTGGCCACATAACACATAAGCACATGCTTTATTATATGTAAAGAGATGGACCGATATATATCTTAGTCAATATATCGGGCCAATATTTTCACGTTTTATCGTATTGGCTATCGGCCATAAATCTCCAGCATCAATATTTTCTTTTGGTCAACAAGCCTAAAAGAAATACATAAAGCTTCATTTGAACATATTAGTGAAAAAGGACACTGCACAAAAGGTGACTAGACAACTCTCTTTCAATTGGGTGTAAAACAGGATGTAAGACGAGATTGCAATCAATTAAAAATGTATATTTGGGGAAAAAATATTAGCTAAAAACTATCAGTAGACATTATCGACGACTGGTTTCTTGCCATGAAAAAAAAAACATTTATCAGTTTACCTCTTTTTGAGCAATTGAAATAAATGTAAGATAAATGTAAGACAGATATAATCAATGCCTTTTTTTTCTAGGAAGATTTAGGCAAAAGGTAAACATGAAGACAAGCAGCAAATACCAAACCTTCCAAAGGAAAAGATACATAGTGCACCTTTAATACTTTGCTTTAAAACTTTAATACTGATACTTTTCTGAGAGCTTACCAGCCGACAGAAGCTCATCTAGAACACTGAGAATGTTCAGTGTGCTTTCCACATCTCCAGCATTCTGCACAAAGAAGAAAACAACAATAACATGTATTAAACTGAGAATAGGTTGTATTTTGCATTACGGATATTAGTCCTTGCTAATTTTTGACACAGCAAAAAATACTGAGCATATCCAAAAGAAACTCATTCTTCTATTGCTCTTTTCACTAGAATCACAATGTGGTGGCAGTATTAAATCATAAAAGCATTGTTCTTGTCAAGTGAAAAGGCTTCTAAGTGTTATGCGGTTAGGTTAGATGTTTAGTGTTATAGCAAGTGTCGGCAATAACTTACAAAATGATACTGATCATTTAAAAATTGTAAATTGCAAGAAAATAGAGAAATATTGACTTCAAATGTATGTATTTGTCTGAACAGGAACAGTGGACATTAACAATAATTCTGTAAATGTGCCAATTTTAAATACAAAGATAATTTTCAACTGTAGTCAAGGTGTAGACATGCCAGCAGAAGATTAACCGAAAACACAACACTATAAATTATAACTACACAATTACTTTGATTAATTACATAAGTTTGTAAAAGTTTGTAAGCTGCATAAAATCATCTACAGAATAAAAAACAATATTAGCAGCAGTAAGACAGTGTGGAGCAGTGTAAGAGATTGACAGGTTCTTGCAGCACAGAAAACAGGAAATGAGCATTCACTTTTCATTTAACTCTCAGGACATTTTCTCTGGTGAGTAGAATCAAATCCACTTTATTTGTATAGCGCATTTTATAAACAGACCAAAACTGCTGCAAATGTATAAATGCTCAGATGCTTAATCTTACTTTTTCTAAAAAAAATAAATAAAATCAAATAGGAGCAAACAATAAAATAGCAATAAATGCATAAATAAATTGTTAAGATAAATAAAAGACAGAGGACTACACAATTCATGCGGTGTTAAAAGCCAGAGAATAAAAATAGTCTTAAGATGAGACTTGTGCAGTGTAACTTTTTTAATTGGGGGTCAATCACCTGTTTCTATGAATGTGTCATCATTGCTCTGTCATCAATGTAAACAGCTCTGCCTTACATTTATTCAATTTCAGCTGGTTTCATAGTTTAAAAATACCTAAAAAAAAACCAAAAAAAACAGGCATTTGGACTGTGAGTGGGGTTGTCTCTCCGTAGATCTGACCTGTAACTTGGTCTCCATGATGATAGAAAGGTTTAATGCCATACTGTGAAACATTCCAGGCAAAGCAAATACATCTCCATAGAGACAAGTAAGTAGTGGACCATATACCAGACAAGTTACACAATGCACCTTTAAGTCTCGTCTTAGGCACCACGATTACAACGTTGATTGGTTTGAAGTAAGATTTTAAATCGGTCTTTAAAGTACTATAATCTGAGATAATAAATTATAACATTATCAAATGCAAAATTGTGAACCACTTTGACTGTAAGTATTATAGATAAACCAGATCTGAGCTTTTGGAGGTAAGAAGCACAGAGGGGAAACGCAGACACAGGGAGATCATGCAAACTCCACACAGCAAGACCCTCCAGTTAAAGTGTCAAAATAGGACCTTCTTACACTGAGTGTCCTATCCACTATTTGGTAAATAAAGTAATTCTAAAATCATACAGTGAACAGTACATGTAGGGATGAAAATTTTGGGAAGAATAAAAAACTGCAATTTTTCTGACAAGCATTGCAATTGCAGTTACACTGGCAAATAAGGACTCTTTAAAGTACACATTTTAAAAGTGTCCTGAAGAACTGGCATACTGAAATATGAGGAATTGACAAATTAATACAAGAAACGGGGCTATCAGTTTTCTACGCAGCGTATAACAGGGTATTTTGTTTTTTCTGGAGGAAATAATGGTACTTAAACATGCATTATGTAACTTTTCTGATGGAGGGTCCACCACCTGATTTTCTCCATGGAAATGTCATTGCTTTGTCTGAAATGTTTCACAGTGTGACATTAAATCTTTCTATCATCATTGAAACCTAACCACAGCAAGTTTCAGGTCAAATCTGTGGAGAGGTGACCCTGCTCTTTCAGAATGCAAGTTTTTCTAGGTATTTTAGAGCTATAAAGCCACCTGGTAGGTAGAGCTGTTTAATTGTCATAATGTGGAACATGTGAAGCAAAGAAATGATATCCATGGAAACAAGAAGGTGATGGACCCTCAACCAAAAAGTTACATAGTGAAATCTAGAACACTAGATTGTTTATGATTTGCAGCCAAATTGAGATTTTGATTCGATTATGAGATTTAGAGATACATTTTTTCATTAACATTCAGAATGACCTGCATCTACTCAGAACTTTACCAAAATAAATGCAGGATTAAATTCTGCAGTTTCAACACGGGGTCCTCATTAAAGGTGAATTGAAGGAAAAGCCAACTATGTGTCTGATATTAATACCTGTGTGTGTGAGACAGAAGGGGCCAACAAACTCAGTGTTTACAGACAAACAGTGAGAAGATCTGTTGAGCCACTGTAATAAGAAGCTGGTGCTAAACACAGACAGAGCTCATAGTTATGTAATAGATCCCATTAACCTGCTGCACAAGCCCACTACTTACAGAAGTGGCCAAGTAAAGGGTCAGGCGTTTGGCACAAGTTTACATGGCGCTAATAGGTTGTTCACACGGTTCTATGCACAAGTGGAACAATCAGATGATAAGTAACAGTAGCAAAAGTATGGCCCTGTTTGTTGTCTACATTTTATTTTAGTTAATATTAATATATCATAATATATCATATCATCATCATGTACACCTGATGCCCTTCCTGATGCAACACTGTTCATCCTTTGGGTTTGGAATTGTCTCAGTTCATTTCTAGGCGGTAGGAGGATGTATGTTATGTGTAATTAACGCTGTTTTATTTAATATATTTAGGAATATTTGTATTAGTGAAATACAGTCGGAAATGACAGTTTGGCTTTTATCGGACACAGACATCTGAGTGCATTTGATCATCAGTGTTGATACCTTTGTATGCGTCAAGCGGCCCTAAATGTTTCCTACAGTAATTTAACACTAGCACATGTAGTGTGGAACTTTCAATCACGTAGTTTCCATTTGAAATGGCGATTTCTAAAGATAGTGCCGTTTCAAAGTGTAGAAGTCCATATGGGTTTTAACATGTATAGCCTTACTGATGCAGCTGAGGGCAGTATGGCGGTGATAGTACATTCAGGTTCATTCTCTGGACCTGGTGTTTGAGTTTGCATGTTCTCCCTGTGCCGTGTGATTGCCTCTAGCAGCTTAATTTTCCCTGTAAACATCTACGCCCCCCTGCGTCTTTTCTGGTTAATTAAAGATGCTTTTGTCGAACTAAAACATACAATTGGTACATTAACAATATAAATTCAATATACAGACCAACATACAGTTATATGTCACACTGTTTGTTATTCCTGTGATCTCTGTGTAATGAGCATTTTGATTAGCTCCCAGTTTCTTGAACCAAAACCACTTCACATTTTGGGTGAATGAGCCTCACTCTTACATTTTATTGTGGTCAATTGACACAACTCTGAATTAAAGGGGACATATTATGTAAAATTTACTTTTATGAGATTTTAAACATTACAATGTTCATCATCAGGTCAGATTGCTGAATTCCTCTTAAATGTATAGCCACTTTCGTAAGCACAGCTTGCATCTATATTAGAATTTTTTTTTTTATCTAAAACTATTACGTCTCTTTTATATAAATAATAATTATATTATTTAATATTGAGCTGTTGATTTTTGATTCTGTGTGGAGCACATCTGTAATCTTCTAACACTATCTGACCATCTGTCTATCTGAATGACAACAAAGTTTGTCTTAGTATTGTGATTGTGATTGATTCGTTTGAATTATCCTGTATTATTCTACATTTAGGGGCTGAAGTTACCTGCACACTGCTCAGTTCTTATAACTTACATTTTAAATAAAACAAGTAAAATCAATGAATGAGTAAATGAAAAATCAGCTGCTTGTTCCAATGAAATGAAGAGGTGAACTTCTGCAGTCAACAGGTCAATGGACTTGATTTAATACTAAGACGTTTTATATTATTTATTTAGAATAGCTTTAACTTCTCTGTATGACTGCCTGTTTTCATCTTCCCTGTATTATTTCTTTATTGCTCTTTTGACTGTTTTAATATTTGCTGTGTAAAGCGTTTTTTGAGTGTCCTGAAAAGCGCTATATAAATAAAATGTATTATCATTTTTAATTATTATTAGATTACAATTGTATTGTCATTGCAGAAAATACAATAATTCTTAACTCTCTGAGGCCAATATTACAGCTAAATTCAATTTTAAAAAAATTAAAATCTGATCTATGCATTTAAAAAATAAATAATAAATAAATATAAAATAAAACTAACTGAAAAAGGCATATTATGTCTTCTTTAAGGGCACAGATGGTGGAAACATTTAAGTTCCGTTCTCACCGTACAAAACAAAAATGGTGTGATCTATGATAATACTGAGCTGCTTTGCACTAGAAATACATTTGACTCGTACTTTTAACGATAGAGTTTCACTACTCATCAAAATCAGACCTCATTAAAATTAAATTGATGCAGTTGCATGATGCATCTAAAACCACAGTGTTGACGGGGGCAGGTTGAAAATGTATTTGCCACTTTTGGTCAAGTGTCAACCACAGAAGCCCATCACGAGAACTTGATATTGTACATATACAGAGTGGGTTAGCTTTGATGCACATTCGATACCCTGGACTAAGAATAACATGACATCCTATATCCAAATATTGCACACATGTCATTGTTTTGAATCTAATTCTGGGAGAAAACACACAGAAGTGAGTATAATGAGTTAAGTTTATGTTTAGGAAAATGTTGCTTTTGTTGCTCATTGAGAGACTCTGTGGGTTTAGATTGTAAACTCCTGCAGAGAGTGTGAATGTTAAATCCCAGGCCTTGACCTTGGCAGGGATTAAAGCTGGATGAATTTGCAGAGAGGAAGCAGATTCAATATCAGCTGTCTCGGAGCTTGTTAGTGGTGAAAGCTGCAGGAAAACTTAGCCCCAGTGACATACAGTGTAACCTACAGCTAAGACTGTAAACACACATGTTTAATGGTGCGGGCATCAATGCTATACAAGTTTACATTTTATAAGGAGGATTAATGGGTTATTGGAGAACTTACTGAACACACTCTCCTTTGTGTTAACATATTTGCACTAAAGTCTGCCTGGAAAATCCATTGCTCCAGTGTGGTCAAATGAAGCATGAATATAAATGCTGTTGTTTTGAACAATAAACGAGAAACACTGCAGTTTTTATCATTGAGCATCAATGAAAAATATTTTCATAACTCTCTAATTTGCAAATCATGAATTCCTTAGAAAATATCAAAATAAACTCTCTCTCCTCCAATACACTCATCTTCATGAAATTGATATGTAAAGTTCTCAAACTGTCTTGCATTGCCTGTTCTTGTGTGTTTTTATTATATATCTTTGAACAACAAGCATAAACTTTGACAACAAGCATCACTTTATCCACATTCTCCATAACCATAAAACAACATAATTGTTTTCTATGAAGTAAAAAAAATGTAAATTCAGCAGTAAACAAGCATAAAAATTTTATTAGGAGCATTTACGGACAAAACTGATTTATAAGCTTAAAGCTTACTGCATGTTACAGATGGCATTTTTAATAATATTAGTGTTTTGAAAGCAATGAGTTGAGCAGGAAATTAATGTTTTGGACAGCAGCATTTTTGGTTTTCATTGAAAGTTTTAATTGAAAGTTTTTATTGGAAGTTTTCATTAGAAGTATCATTTTCCAGTATTAAAGTAATAAATAAATAATCTGCACTTAAACAGTTAAAATATAAAGTAATAATTCCCTAATGAATGAAGATATGGTTATTTCATAGTAATAATTTGTACATTCCTACCTGCAGGGTGGACAGCAGGACCTCCAAGCCGCTGGACGAGCTGGGTGAGTCAGTCATTCTGGAGCGGCGTCCCTCTGTGGCAGTGGATACGGGTCAGACACAGACAGAGAAGAGGAACAGTTAAACAGCGGGCACTGGAGTGGACAGGTATGTGGCCGGACAAAATGGATCTGAGTGGAGCGCGTCGTCAATCAGATGTATGAAGACAGCAGCTCTCCACGGCAACAGCTCACCCTAGTGTTTCTGTGGGGCTCACGTCAAACGCCAAGCATCTGTCTCTCGTTTCCCTGTGAATGCCAACCACGACACACGCAGTGCTCACTGTACGGAGGGACACTACCCCCCACGGACCTCATGGGAAAACCCAATAGCACTGGGCATATGAACTACTCCACAATCTGTCCATGTGTGAGCGCATCCATAAAAGTCACGCATTATCAAAACTAAATGCTGGTAGTGAGCTCATATTTGTGGCTCACTGATCAGGGGAGCGGTGAAATTATGTTTTGTGTTACGTTCTTGAGTAATCCTACCCTTGAGAACAAAGTGCTGGAGAAAACATTTGCGCTGTGGTGTTGAGAAGACTGCCTCTATAAAAAGGCCTTGACAAGATCGGCTAGGCAGCTGCATGCCAACTATATACACACAGCTTCAACAAATATGAAAAAAAATAAAAACATCCAGAATAACACACATCATACATGACACAGACTTAAACATGTCTTTGGTCACTAATCATGTAAATGAGGAGGTTTTGAGAAGCTACAGTAACATCATTGAGATGGCTTGCCTCAGGGTAATTTGGCAGAGGGTTTTTTAAAAAAATGTGATTTAAAAGTGCATTGCTCAACTTTTCTGATGGGGGAGGGGTCCGCTACCTGCTTGTATCCATTTGATGATATTGCTTTGTCTGGAATGTTTCACAGTGTGGTATTAATCCTTTCTATCTTCATGGACGTCAAACCATGCCAAATTGCAGGTCAGATCTGTGGAGAGGTACCCTTACTCACAATCAGAATGTCTGTTTTTCTAGATATTTTTGAGCTATAAACCACTTGTAAGTTGATAAATGTAAGCTGGAGTTGTTTATCTACATCTAGAAACAAGTAGGTGAAGGATCCCCAACCAAAAAGTTGCGTAGTTAAAAATTATATTTAAAAAGTTAAACAACTTTTTAAATATAATTTTTAACAGTTTATAACAAAGCAGTGTTATCAGTGTTTATCGGCCTGTATAAATGCGTCCTGGAAGAATGTGCTGGGTTAAGTTCCCCTTTTAAACTTTGCTCTCAACGAAAGCTTAAGCTCAAACCAAACCACACCAGTTTAAATCATCCTAAGTCTTCAGTACATATAATATAGGCCTATGACTGTTATTCTATCGGGTAGTAACTAGGCTCCTGGCTCTATAGATGGTGTCACCCTAACTGGCTCTCCAAGCATGTGTGTTTGAAGACAGTCTAGGTGAAGCTGAAGGTCACTGATTGAGAATACCCTTCCTTAATCCTCACGTTTAGCTGTTGAGCCCACGGACTGCTCTCCAGCCCTCATCGACTTAACAACAGTTCATGCATGCCAAAAATCACAGACGGACACGGGTCTCTCTCTCTCTGTCATGTCCACACTGGCAGTTTGATGAAAAGAGATAGTAGTAACTGATCTGAAGTAAAAACTGAGTGAAAAAGTGAATAGAAACCGGATGCTGCCATTTCAACCTAATACAACTTTTCTTTAAAGGTGGAGGGTCCATCAGTTGCTTTTCTCCATGAAGATGTTATTGCTTTGTCTGGAATGTTTCACAGTATGGCATTAAACCTTTCTATCTTCATGGAGACCAAACCAGATCAAGTTACAGGTCAGCTCTGTGAGAAGCAACCCCACTCACACAAAAATACCTGTTTTTCTAGGTATTTTTGAGCTATAAAACAATCTGTAATTGAATAAATGTAAGGTAGAGCTGTTTAATGTCATACTGTGGAATATTCTAGGAACATCAAGGGCATGTCCATAGAAACAAACAGGTGACGGAGCCCCAACCAAAATGTTACATAGTGCACCTTTCATTCGAGATTTGTTTTTCCTTTTTCTTCAAATATGTAGTGATAAATTTACAGTAATTTACTACTATCTATACTTAGTTGGTTAATACTCCCACTAAAGTGTAAAGTAGTGAGTTGTTTTGGTGTGTGACGTTAACTCTCCACCTGTTGCAGTAGAATCAGATAAACTTGGACAAGGACACAGACAGTTGTACAATTAGTCTAGCTTTAAATGTAGCTTAACTGGGCATTGAAGATATTGAATGACAAGAACAAATGTGACCAAATCGAAAAGTTATGTGAGCGGCCACTTTTGAATCCACTGTCAACAAATCCTGAGTCCTCATTATTCCTAACAGGCCTTTAATCTAGGAAAGCTCACATAGGACAGGATTCCCCGCTACACATACACAAATACACCCTTGCACACACGCACATGCTTCGTGGGGACATTTCCTGGACACTGATCTTAACCACAACCGCAATCAGTAACCTTAACCTAAACCCTAACTTCAAAATAAACTTCCATGAGCTTTAAATCATGTTATAAAGTAGTATTTTTGATTGATTCATGTATGTTTGAGTAGTCCTGTATTGGCATTTGAGGCTTGGGTGCTCAGAAAATGCTTTTAACTAAACCCTCCCATATCTCTGTGCTTAGTTGAGATAAAAAAAACTTTTTTTTTTAAACTTATAAATGACAGTTCAGTGTTTGATCAGGGGAATTAGTCTGACACTAGTTGGGGGGCCTAGGCCTACATTTAGTTCTGTAGTTAGTTTTGAAACACAAAGACACAAAGATCTGGTTTATGATGACCAAAGTATAAAGTAACTAGAAAAGCACTCAGAGAGCGCAGACCTCCGCCAAGGACTACCCCCATTTTTTATATAAATTGCGATAAAATCAGTCTTCTGGATCAGATCCGGATCAGCCTTTGGAATATGAAAGAGGATCCCATTGTCCATCCCTGAGTCAAATTTCATGGGGTTTGGTCAATAATTAACCGAGATATTGAGAAACAAATTTTTTGGCCCCATTTACCACAAAAAACTAAAACTAACTAACTAAAATTTCAAAGTGATCCAGAATCCAGGATTTCTTCCGGATCACCCCCAAAATGAAAACAGTTCTTCCTTTTCACATTTCCAACAAATTCTGAAAATTTCATCAAAATCGGTCCATAACTTTTTGAGTTATGTTGCTAAAAGACAAACAAACAAACAAACAGACAAACGCCGGCAAAAACATAACCTCCTTGGCGGAGGTAATTATCTATGTAAGCAAGTACTCAATATTGAAAACTTCTTCCTATTTGTACTATAGCTTACCTTTAAGTTATTGTTGGTAGCGGTGTTTCCCATTAATAGACAATGGTGACCCAACATAGTCTAAAAACTATCTGAGAAAAAAAGGTTTAAAATATATATATACTTACTTTGCAGTATGATTGTTGTATTATCATAAACATATAAGTATAGAACACATTTTAAACTGTAATCAATGTTTTTTTCAGTTCAGTTGAGGCAATAAGTGAAATTTATACACAGGGGTGTGCAAAAAATATCGAAATATCGCTATATCGTATCATTTAATGTAATGATACAGTATCAGTATTGTGGGCTGCTGTATCGATATATATCACCAAGAGTATTTTTTTGGTTTATTTTACTAAATTATTTTGTTACAGCGCTACAGATTTGTTGCTTGTTCTGAGGAAGGAAACTCATTTATGCGACAAATTTCTATTTTCTCTGTTTATCTTATTTAAAATGTTTGTGTTTCACATTAAATTTTGCACAAGAAATGTTTTAACAAAGACTTTTAGTATCACAGCCATGATTTAGCCATTATTTTCATTTAACCATATTGAATAGATTTTCAATATATCATATTGAATTGAAAGCTCACTCTATCGAGATCTGTATCGTATCATGGTCTGTGTATCGAAGTATGAATCGTATCGGCAACTTGTTAATGATACCCAGCTCTATATATATATATATATGTGTATATATATATATATATATATGTGTGTATGTGTGTGTGTGTGTGTGTGTATGTGTGTGTGTGTGTGTATATATATATATATATATATATATATATATATATATATATATATATATATATATATAGTATTGAATAAATATGGATAGAAAATAATAAAATATGGATCACTTATGCCACCATAGTCTTAGTATAAACCTTTCTAGTATTTTTTTGTGTCCGTCTAGTATTTAAGAATTTAAACTTTGTCCCCAGAAGGAATGCATGCCCCATAAACTGACTGTTCAAAGACTTTAGTCCCCACAGTCTGATGAGTACAGGTCCACACACACTCCCGCACATAGACAGACATTTGGTGGCGTTGAGGGAAGACCTGTGTGTTGTGTCAGCTGTGCTCCTTATCTCTTCTCCTGGTAACTACACACAACAGGCCCAGTGTTACTGTGGGGCATAAAGGAAACATCAACAGCTGAGGGCCACTGACATTTCACTTAACGACTTCATCACAAGAGCATCAGCTGTAACCAGGTTTCCAAAGCAAGTATAATTATCATGGAAAGAGAAGACGGAGATTTAGATCATTTATTTATTCTTATTTGAGGTGGGCGATATGTCAAATGATCAATAACACCGCAAATGTTGTTATAAATACATGAAAAGTTTGAAGATTGGATTCATTAGTTGTTGTAAGTAACAATCTCAAAAGAGAGCTGTGTAACTTTTTGGTTGGGACTCTGTCACCTGCTTGTTTCTATGGATATGTAACTGCTCTGCCTGGAATGTTCCACAGTATGACATTAAGAAAGCTCTACCTTACATTTATTCAATTAGAGGCTTACAGGTTTTATAGCTCAAAAAATACCTAGTAAAAACAGGCATTCTGACTCTGAGCAGAGTTGCCACTCCATGGATCTGACCTGTAAATTGGCCTAGATTGGTCTCCATCATGATAGAAAGGTTTAATCCCGTACTGTGAAACATTCCAGACAAAACAATAATATCGCCATGGAGAAAAGCAGGCAGCGGACCAT